CAGCAGTCTCAGCCTGGTGATACAACAACCGCTGGACATGGTCAATCCCAAGGAGATGCTCGCGATACATGGAGATGATGATGGCATTCCAGATCTGCGAGACAAGGACCTTGGGTTTGTATTTGACCTCCATCTCGGCAGTGGCCAGGAGTTTGGCGTAGATGCGCTTAGGAAGGCGGGTGTACACATCTTTCCAAGGCGTCCAAATCGACAGTCCAAGCGAGAAAGAGCGAGCAACGGAGAAAACGACGACCCAGATGATGTACCACAAGTACGTGTCAAGGAAGAACAGTATCAAGTCCATGATATACATGATAGCCAATGTGAAGGGGACCTGATTCGAGCAGAGGACTGTGCCGAAGAACTTATCATTGCATCCCTGCACAGTAGTCCGTGCCATGACTGCGATTGGCGAGCTGAAGGAACTGGTGAGAAAAAAGTATGATTCTGTAAATTTGCATCCGAAAACTAGGAGCCAAAGCATGATGCTTGCAGTACGCGCGGTACGCGTAAGTTCCGGGTAAGATGCAGTAAATGTCTGCGAGGCCATGTACTTGCGTGACTTGCCAGCCACACGGTCACCAAACATGCGCCCGGAAGGAAACAATCCGAAAGCAACAGTCGCGACGATGGAGATGAAGAACTGCACAATGCCAACGATAACAGGAATCTGCGAGGTGGTGGGGGTTGGACGGTTCTCTACATATGCAATGTATACAGTCGGACCGCCCGTAAGCGCTAGAATGACGAGGAGGAATATGAATCGGGTTGTGAGATGGGAGGCATTATTCCATGTTGTGGGGATGTACATGAACTCGGCGAGCGTGGCAAATATCATGATCAACGTGGCAACCGCACCTCCGAGGGCGGTTGCGGACCAGGTCATCGCGGATGAAGGGAATTGCGAATTTGGAGGCGCGTACACCCTAGGGGAGTTGAATGCGGTATAGAACCAATAAATTGCGACGTGGAGAATCCAGATGCGGTTGAAGTTGACAAGTAGATGCGCTGTGGAACGCTTCTCCTTGTAGGTCTTGAAGAAGACTTTGTTCCAGTCTACGCGCCGCAGGTTCATGTAGCGCTTGGCGGGTGAGATGTCCACAAGGCGAGACTGGAAAGCATGTTAACTTGACGCATGCTGCAGGGGAAGATCACCTACATGGTTCTCAAGGACAATCCGTGCCAGACCCTCAGGATACCAAAAAAGCTGGTTAATGTCGTCATATCCGATGATCTCGTCATGATCCCTCTCCCTCCTGACGAACTTGCCCTCTGCAACTTCATAACCCTGGTCACGCATGAACGTGTATAGTGGCTTGATGATTGTGTGCAAGTATAAACCCTCCCGTACGGGCTCCACGCTATTTTGGCACTCGGGACTACGGTAATAATCGTCTGCGCACTTGAATATGAAGCACAGGCACTCGGGAACAAAGCGCACGTTGCCCGCCTCGCCCCAACAAAGGAGGTAAAGTGCTATCTGGCGGAGCCTGTCGTATTGACTCATGTTATTCATCGCGTTACGCCAGCGATTCAGTGCGCTATCCAAGTGTTTCGAGCCTGGTGTTTTGACTGAGCCGCCTCGGACACTTTTGAGGCGTTGCAAGCCGGGATTCTGGGTTTGTCCGACGGCATCATCGAGGTTGAGCTGTGCAGCAAAGTACCACTTGCGATAATTTGCGTGTTGTCCGCCAATGTAATCGGCATGAAGGGTTGTCAGGGCCTGATTTGGACTCATACGGGAGGCGCGGGAGTCGAGAGACTGCATTAAAAAATCAAACTGCAAAATTGATTAGTGCTTGTGCGTGAAGCGTGGTGATATCACAAACCATGTTTCGCATGGAATCACGTTGAAACCCGAATTTTTGGGTGAGGTCTAGAAAAATGTCCTCTATTTCTTCCATGGAAATTGGTATCTGACGGTCGGGAGACCAGGCTGGATATGGGTAGGTGGCTGAGTCGGCAAAGGGGGAACCATATGGCTGGCTCGCCTGTGAGTTAATAGATGGTGCGTAAGAGCGACTGCCATGTCCAGCATCAGAAGGAGAGTCGCGACCTGTGAAGGGGCTAGAATCATAAAATTGCTGGTTAGCTGCGAGACGAGTGGTGCTAGCATAGGGAGTGCCAATCTCTGATTCATTGTCATAGTCTTGTCGAATAGGCTGTTGTTGGTAGAAATTTGGCTGGCCGTAAGGGTTTGGGAAAGGACTGTTAGGCTGTTTGAGCCCATGGGCTGGTTGAGCCATGTTAATAGTCTCGACGGACGATCAGCGGGTCGAAGTAAAGAACGACTATAAGGAAAACAATAACAAGTACTGAAAAATATAGGAAAGTCCGAGTCAGCGCCCAGCGGTGAAAGCAGGATAATGGAGTATCTGTGAGACACCGCGATGCGCATATAGAACAATCATCACTCGTGAGAAATCAAACTTGGTTACCAGTAAAATTAGTTTTTCTAAAAATAAGTAACAGTCACTAGTCGACGACCATCACGTACGTTGACGTTGAGCTGCGCAGTCTGCAGTTTCAACTTTTCTGATGGCACTTCCAGGATTACTTCTGCCCGTGTTCTAAATGCTGGCCGTCGTTGATCCGAGTCGTGTTCCGAGTGGTCTATAATTGTTCAACCAAATAAATCAAAACATCCACAGTCCACACGTGATCTCATATAGTAACGCGTCGCACGCGTCTTGACTCAGTAAACTCACATGTCTCAACCAATCGTGTTATGGAACGCTAAACGGCACGCAACCCATGTCTTTGACGATGCAGGCATCTCAATCACGAAAAATATATTGCCTCCTCCAGGCCCCCGAGCCCCTTATGACATGGATCCGGAGCCTCCAAATATCTTGAAGACCGTCCCACCTCTCGCGTACTTCTGTATTCGCGCACTCACTCCTCATGCAGACCAACTACACCACCTTCAGCATTCCGTACCCTACAGTAGGGATGTTGTCAGTGCTTTGGTCCGACGAACACCAGCCCCTCTTCCTGTCAAGAACAAGGATTCACAACCGTTTTTCGTTTCGATTGTTAACCCTAGATTGCTGGCAACACTCGCGCAGGTTATGCACCCGCTTCCTGAAGAGTTCATGGACTATGACATACCACTTAGTGATGTCCATCTACCATTGCTCCAAAGAGTGCCTAGTCGGGAAAACTTCTGCTTTATAACTCTTCTGGCCTTACCATATTGCAAGGAGATGTGCGACGACACCATTGGCGTCATTCGCCGTTTGAACACCCTCACTGCGCTGGATATAAAAGGGACAACCGTAGGATCCTACGGCCTTACTGTGCTTGCTCGCGGCTTGTCATGGAGCGACGACGAACTGCAGTCCAGGACTGGTTGTTGGGGACTCAGAATCCTGAGCCTGCATAGCTGCACCAATATAGGCAACGAGGCTCTCCCCATATTATCCAAATTTCCCCTGTTATCATCCATCGGTAACTTCCTTCTTTCTCCATTCCGCACCACAACTTATCCGTGCCCCATCGCCAGACCTGCGCTTCACTAGCTGCACGCGACACGCTGTCTCCAAACATCTTGCTGATGCTGGCTTCAGACCCTCTTCAAACCGTTTATTGTTTCATCCTGCTCCACTGGAGGTCTCGCTTAAGCAGCTCGAGAATCTTGGTCCAACTTCAATGTACTCATGCGGACTCACCTCCGTATTCAAGTTGCACGTTAACAAGCTCAACCATAGCAACCTCTTTTCCGAACACGGAACCCCGTCGTACATTCTCCAGGACATGAGGGAGGGACCAATAAGTTTGATAGATGTTGATGTCGATGAAGAGAACAGCGTGCTAGCCGAACCTACCTCTCAGAATATGCAGGCAAGCACGACGTCCATGTTCTATGCATCGCGCCTGCCCCGCAGAGAAAACCTCATTCGGGCTGCAGCCGAGGAGCAGCTTCACCCATTGACTTTGGCGCGCCCTCCACCCCAATGGAGTGTACTAGACGTACTCCGACCACCGGTACGACAGCAACAATCGTATGATCCAAAGGAAGACCCACCACCACTAAAACTCGAATCCATGGACCGTGCGCGTCTCACCAAGCGTACCTTGTCAAGCGTGCAAGATATGGTCACGACCCTGGCCGATAAGAACAAGAAGCGGAAAGTGGAAAGTGCATTCGCCAGCGCAAGTGCCTTTCCAATTTCCGTTTCGAAGTCGAAAAACCCTTTTGTCAAATCTGGGGGCTCGACTTCCAAATCGAACGGGTCAGGCGGCATGGTGCGATCCGTGTTCGCTGAGCAGAGAGATGCTGCCACTGCATCAGCACCTGTTAAACGAGACTGGTGCAAAGCTGAACCGTGGCCCAAGTTTTGTGATGGAGGGCCCTTGAAACCCTTGAAAAATTCCATGTCTTCGACTTCCTTAAACAACACCACTTCGAACTCGGTCTCCTCTGCGAGTGGCAGCTCACTTCTTGCTAATACCTCGAACCCTGCCCAAAAGAATTCGGAGCCTCTCGCTGAGGCTAAGATACTCAGACCCATCACATCGTACCCCGTCCCACCGTGTCCACCAGAGCATTTTCTACTGGTGCCACAGATATATCCAAAGAATTGGGAGAAGAACAAAGGGGCTGCCCACTCTGTATTTGAGCCTTTTCCCGATCCGACGGCGCCGATGGATGGGAGCGATGATATCATTGAAGTGGAAGGAATCGGTTCCATTCACGATGACGATCCTAAAAGGAATGAGAATCCTCCGAAGAAAACTGGGAGAGGTCGTGGCGGTGCCAGCAGTACGGCGAAGAAAGGAAAGCAGAAGGCGACTGGATTTGATTGGAATAAGTGGAGGCGGGAAACTATGTGATTGACATCATTATCTTTTCTTTGTGTACGATTCTTTATCAGTCCTTTATACTTTATTACTCAAATACCCATTCACGGATTCTTGTCTCGTGTACTTGTCCCTTTACTAACTACTCGTCTAACCGAGTTACACGTGTACTTATACTCCATGCTCACAAGCTTGAAGTTGACTGTAGTTTTTGCGCACATCACGTGAGAGCCGCGTTCATATCCAGTTTCATTTGGCAGATCACTTTCTAGAGAGTCCCTACGGGCTAATGTCCAGGCACGATGGACTACTTCTCCAAGTTCCTCCGCGCAACGCCCCAAGCCTCGCCAAAGCCCGTTCAAGACCACGCAGATGAATTTAGCAGATCCTGGAATGTCATCAAGGTACTACTCCCCTCCCGAATTTCCGTAGATCCCAATTGAACGCGAGTCGGCATGCTCGTAGACAATACTCGAGCACCCAGACGAGCGGCAGCTCACCAAGGGCATCAAGTCTACCGATGCCCCAGCCCACTTGCAATTGATGGTCGACGCCCTGGTCAGGGAATCGGCCCATAACGAAGAAGGGTACGTGCTCTGCAACCATGAAGGTCTCGATAGCGTTTATTGTTGCTCTTCGTCAGCGCAACTGGTGCCTGCTTAGAATTTCTGCTCAAGAATGGTCTGCACCCCAACAACTACGATCTGCCCTAGGCGACTGTATCTAATAGTTCTTGCTCCTACAGATGTCTTGGGCACACTCGTGCGCCTTGCAGAACCCGACAGACCCTCTGGAATCCAGGCCGAGGTGCTCCGTGCAGTGCAGAACATGGTTGTTCTCATGGATGAGCAATTCCTCGTGCACTCCGCTGTGCATCGCGCTGTCCTGCGCCTCCTGCGTAACTGTGCCGGAGACGACATCCAAGAGCAGCTAGACGGTCGGAACAGGATTATGGGAGCTGCTAAAAATGCTGTACGGAGCCAGCCGTCTGATTATGAGCTTGATCGTAAGTGTTTGCCTCGTGTTCGACTATCTGTGGAAGCTGATGGATGGCAGTGTTGAACTTACTGTGTATTTTGTGCAGCCGCATACGCACGTATCGCGAACTGTTGATGATCTTCTTCCATGATAAGCACTGGTACCACTCAGAACCGCTTTTCTCCGTTGAAGAAGAGGATGAGGATGAGGACGAGGACGAGGATGAGGGCAAGAACGATGAGGAGGAGACAAGGGAGCGTGCATCACCAACACCTTCACAGGTCACAATAACGTCTGCTCCTGCATCTCAGGCTGCCCATTCTCACAAGACAGAATACGAGTTCCTCCTCTTCAACTATCTACTCCGATTCGTTCACCGCGAAGGGCAAATTGGCGATTTTGCACGCACAGGCTTGCTCTTCCTCATGGATGTTGCAATGTCCCCTGGGGAACCGATACATAGATTAGCGGGGGATGAACAGGAGTCAGCTCCAGCATCTGGATCAGAGACCGCAGCTGGAGATCCGATTACAGATGCAGCACTCGCCTTGGCGGAGTATATCGTCGATGGTGATTTTTCAGACGTTCTTGGGGCGGGTCTGGGCGCAGTATACTCTTTGCTTCCATCGAAATTGGAAATCAAGTCACCGACTCGGGCTGATCCCTTGCATGGCAGTGGCATGGTGCTAGGTAGCACTGGATCAGACACTGAAGATGAGACAGAGCATGCTGAATTAGTGGTGGAGAATAACCGTGTCTCAGGTGTCGAGGACTCTTTTAACCCAGACTTCAAATCTCGCCTCGACCACTTCCTCAAGTTGCTAGAATTTCTGCAGGACATTTTCCGCAGAAACAATGTCCATGATTCCCCCGAGTCCAACCTCGATGCGTCTGCGTTGGTAGGCACTTCCATTGTGCACTCTATACTGGATGCCGTGCGTCGCAGCTTCCTTGAGAACATACTCTACCCATCCGTTCTTGAGTGTTCCGATCTCGACGGTAGCGCTGTTGCTGTGATGTCTTATATCGACATCGTAATTCGTACTCTCGAACCAGGTCAGCTTTCCGACCTCTTCATCGAATTCCTCATGAGTGAGGATAACGATGACGCCTCCCGTTTCCGACCACACCCTCGCATGCTCAATCTCAGCAGTGCTCCACCTCGCGCTACTGACCGCTCAACAAAGCTCCGCCGGCGCAAGAGTAGCGCGATGGTTCTGCTTGAGATGGAGGCTCCTGAATCGCAGAAACAATCGGAATACTTCACCTCAATGGGGCGATTCACGTTGAAAGACTTGCTACTCACGAATCTGCGCTCGAAGAATCAGGCAACAGTCGCATCTGCTCTGCAGTTATTGCAGTCGATGCTGAGCCAGAGATGTCACGTTTCGACCAGCGGTCTGTTCCTCGTCTTCTATGATGCAAATGCGACGAGCTATCCTGAGCCTGCTATGATTTTCCCGGACATCACACAGACAGCTGGAGAGGATAGCGACGAAGAATTTGTTTACCCCGGTGCAGAGGATACCAAACCCTCTGCAAGGCCACGATTGCCGCCCTTGCCCACATTCGTCCAGCCAGATATAACGTTCTCCACGCACGAGCGTGAGATGGGACTCTACCTCACACTGGTCTCCCGTGTTGACCCCTCACATAACGATGATGCATTCAGCACTGGCTATGACCACTATCTTCGCGACGCAATGTCGTCCATCCAGAACCATAGCTGTTTCCACATCCATGATGACGAAGACGTGGACACACGTTCAAAGTTCAAGCATCGGCTCAATGTCAATGACCCCATTCTCTCGCTCATCCTCGAGTCTATGCGTACATTCTTCTCGAACTCGCCAAAGATGAACATTTCGCTCACGGGCGTGCTTGCAGAGTTAGCTGTCTGTCCTAACCGCTCTATCGCGGGATGGCTTACATGTGCAGTGTCAGAAACTCTCGCTTCATTCTCGGATCCCTATCTTGATGCAGATGATGGCCGAGATGATAGATCCATAGACTCTGTGATCGATGAGAAGTTTGCAACAGAAACCAACATACTCCCCGCCATCAGGCTCGATGAACATAGCCGCCCTGTCGTACACACTATCTTCCAAGGACTCGTCGGCCAGCTGGAACGCTACAGGCAATCAGTCGAAAATTTCGACCAATATCTTCTTGAAAGGCGACAGGGTCTTTTGTTCTCTGAAAATCTGACAGATGCACTCACTCTCTCACTTGAACCGGTTCAAGATGCCTTATCGCAGTCAGGTTCTTGGGATGTCGTTCAGGCTCCTGAAACGCCTCCTCAACGCCCGAAGCCGAAGCCGAAGACCTCGGCTCTCGTATCTTTCCTGACCCCAAGAAAAAGCAAAGCCGCTCCGTCCAAGGCGCCTTCTGAACCCACAACACCCCCGGGGTCGGGCGGCAAAAACGTCGCTGCAAGTCCATTTGCTCCTCATTATCAGCGCACGCGAGATATTGTCGTTGAACCTTTCGTGGCTCCCGTTCCCCACTTGAGTCCTTGGACATCAGCCCAGCCATCAAAGTGGAATGCGGATGAAGATGATATTTTCAGTGCAGGAAGTCAATGGGGCGGGCACACAGCTACTCGATCAGAGGGAGAGGACTTACATGGAGGGAAGGCAACGCAGGTCACATTGTCGCAACTGCTGGACAATGTTGTTATTTTAGAGGAGTGCATCAAGGAGCTGGTGGCCATTATTCACGCTCGTCGTAGTTTAGGAATTGATCTAGTAAGATACGTGTGAGCTTCACTAATAATCTCATTATCATTTGTGGAGGTTGGAATCCAAAAAAATGCCACCGTCGTAGCTCATCAGGTACATCGTGAGACGCATCATATGCAACATAGACAAGGGTCGACCAGTCAGGTTTTGACAACAATAGTTTAGAAGAATACATCAAAATAAATACAATACAAAGCAGAACGAGGCAGGGTATGGCAACAAACATCCACAGAACAGGGGTTATTTGGCTTTCTTCGCTCTCCCGCTCCGTCTCCCCTTTGCTGGTGATGATCCTTCACCTGTTGGCTTGCGTTTATCCGAAAACATCCTCTGTTGTATCTTGGCAAATTCCTCGTCATCGATGTCAGGAGGGTCCTGGACATGAAGTTTCTTCTTTGGTGATTCCACTTCAGCTTCAGACTCATCAGCGCCCTTCTTCCGTTTCTTTCCCTTTCCTCCCTTCTTTTTGGATGACTCTTCCATATTTGAGTACTTGGCAGCCAGGTCGTCCAGGAAACCGTGGCGGTCCTTCTGTCTCTTCAAAATGAGGGCCTGAAGTGCTGAAGTGTCTCCCTTGTCATCGTTATCGTCATCTGCTGATTTCTTCGCTTTCCCCTTGCCTTTTCGCGCCCCTGTCTTTCCGCTTCCATAGAACTCATCCCATACGCCAAGCTCCTTCGCGAGTTCTTCAGCCTCCTTTGCCTCTTTGTCACTCTGCTTCTTCCTCACTAACTTGGCTTTCTCGTCTTTGGAGCTTGACGCCCATTGCGGAAGACTCGGCAGATCACCAGCTTGTACAAGATTCGAAAGTGCGATGATGAATCTTGGTTCATCATCAATAGTAGAGTGAGGAATGTGCTTCATGATTTCGTCGAAAGATCCTCTGGTTTCGAGGTACGCGGCCTTGAGGTCCTCAATCTCCTCAGGAGATCCTGTAAGTAGACTTACTTAACAATCTACCAGATATTATTTAGACGCACCTTGATATTCTTTCTTCATTTCGTCCAGTCTCCCGCGTGTGACGCGATCAAATAGGTCCTCAAAGTAAGCTTCCCAACCACCGTCTTCATCCGCCTCACCAAGTAATCCTTCATCAGTCTTTCCGGTTTTGTCATATTTCTTCCTCCGCTTTTCGTCACTTAGTACGGTGTATGCAAAACCAATCCTCTGGAACTGCGTAGATGCTTTGGCCCTTTCCTCCTCGGTGGCGTTAACCAGTTTGTCAGGATGGCACAGCAAAGTAAGTTTCCTGTAGGACTTGCGGATATCTTCTGCGGAGGTATCTGATTTAAGCGACAACACGGCGTAAAGGTCTACATCTTCTTCGTCAAAGAACTGGGATATGGGGTCCTTGTCATCCATGGTGGCAAGAAACGCGTTGACTGTCACACAACGCGCTGAAATGAGATGGGACACGTGCTACTGTAACAGTCACGTTCCATGCCACAGCAATCTGCGGTTTCACGCGGTGTCAACATCCATGCCACCCAAAACGTCGGAAGACCCAGAACAAAACCCATATGATCTACTTGAAATATCACAGGAGGCCACAGAAGCCGAGATTAGGACTGCCTATCGAACCCGCTCACTAAAAGTTCATCCAGACAGAGTACGTCTATTCATTCTAAGATCGAGAGTCTGAGACTAAATTAATCTTGTTGTTGCAGAACAGAAATGATCCTAATGCAGGTGCGTACCCAACCATGTTAAAAATGTAGCTAACACATAAATGTAGCTCAGAAATTTCATGCATTGACAACCGCTTCCACCCTCCTCCTCGATCCGCTTCGCCGTCTCGCGCTCGATGCACAACTCCGTCTGCAAGCTGCCAAGAAGCAGCGCTTCGCATCTTATGACAATAAGCGCAAGGCGATGGTCTCTGAGTTGGAGGAGCGGGAGAAAGAATTCAAGGGGCGAATGGCCAAGGAACAAAAGAGAACTGCGAGGGAGAGCGAAAACATGAGGATTTGTGAGGAGGGGCGACGAATGCGGGAGCAGAGGGAAAAGGAGCTCGAACTGCAGGAATTAGAACGTCAATGTGCGAGGATGAAACCCGAATCAAATGGAATTGTCGAAGAAGAACCCCTTGCTCCGCCGCCTCTTGGTGATTTGGATACAACAATCCGTATAAAGTATGCACTGTCATCATATCCTGCACTTTCTACAGCATCTGCGCTCACAGCCCACCTTCGACAGTATGGCGAGATTGATGAAGGGATGGTAGTGATGTTGCAGAAAGCCAATAAGTCGAAAAAACCCAAGGGAGTTGTAGATGGCGAGATGATAGTGACCGCACTGGTGCCCTTCAATCAGTTGGGCGCTGCATTTGCTGTGGTATCGAACGCCGAATCGCTGAAAGAGCGGGGCATGGACGTGGCATGGGCAGGCGGATCTAAGCCTCCGATCCTAGGCTGGCTCCATGAACGCGGAGAACTTGGAGGACCCGCAGCCAATCGTGCCGAGCCGCTCCCGACAAAGCCTACTCCGGAGGGGACGACGTTTGGTTCGTTTCCCTCGAGTTTTGTAAGTATTTAGGTACTGCTTTGATCTGCTTCGGTACAGGGGTGATCAAAAGAACCTAACAGAAGAAGGTAGGGTGAGTGGCATTTGAATCCGCCGGCGGGATCATCTATATTATCATACACGCCCTCCACCTCAATAAACAGAGCTCAGTGAGCTTAGTGTCCGAAGCCTGTCTGCATTAATTTCGTATGTGAGTCTCCTGCTCTTCGCAATGCCCTCGCCTGGCCTCTGTAGAATGCGGTAAGACGTAACCCGCCGCCGCGGCGGTACGCAAAACAGCCTGGAGTACTACCGTCATCTAGTTCTACTAGTAGCACAAAATATGGTGTAGCTGTGACTATCTGTCAATCTAAGAGCCTTCAGAGACTGTCTTGAGATGCTGACGAAGGGTGCCGCAAGTAAGGAGATGAGGAATTTTATTCGACTGCTTTCACAGGTGGCAAAGGCAATAAACAAGATTATGATTGCTAATACTCCCACGCACTGGTTATCAGTGCCATCTCTTCAAAAGCTCTCCATTTGCTCTCCGTCCTCCATCTATTGACCACAGGCAAGACAGTCATACCTTCTATCCTGTGGAGTACGAAAACATGCCTCCTGCATTGGAATCCCTCCCAGTTGTCATGTCTTTGTGCTCTACAGCTTCGTTGGTATGTCTAGCCGTTGCAACGTTGAGCTAGTTGCAAACACTGGGCTATCCGGAGAAATGTCCATTGAGATGACGCTTCTACGGAGAGCTCTGATGCTTTGCTTGAGAGATTTCCAGCGTTTTCGTGCTGCGATCCGCTGACATCATGACATCTCCCGTCTGATGATACTATCACTAACCCACAGTGCGCACCAGTGGCCAACACAGTACTGTCCTCCCAATCCCAGATGATGATCAATGTCCACAGAGCCTATCCTCATACGTCGCCTGTGTGGAAGAATGCCATTACCATTCGAGTCATTCGTAGTTTCCAAATGCGCGGATGGATTTGGTGTTTGTTATCATGGGCTACTGCCGTTTCTTGTCGAGGATATTGAGCATGGTGCTCTAGGATTGTTTGACTGGGTACTTTTTGTGCTACTTATGGCACTATTACTCTGCACGGGACATTGGGAACGAGCTCAGTCTGCCGTAGCTCACGCACGGCAATATGATAGAACGATCATGGATATAAGTTCTACCTGACCTTCTAACTACTCGCTTCGACGACTCGGACTACTTACCCGCATCGAAAACTGATCAGTGATATGATCTCCATGTGGGTCGGATCTCCCACCTAAAGTTGATCTCTATCTCAATTTGTAGTATCGATCGTTGAACAAGCTTCCATGATTATGTGGAGAACAGCGCTCACTTCTTGTTCTTGGATCAAAATGTGAGTAGATCTCTCTGTCGCCAGTGTGTTGATTCTCATGGCTTTTGTTCCCTTTTGGGCGTTTAGCCGTCAAAAACAAGATCGCTAGCCTAAAGGCATCAAACACACGCGGTTTCCGCAACCAACACTCACCTGATTGATCGCACGCTGGTGCATTGGACTCAACGGCCCTATCGCGCAGATCACTGCGACGACCATGCATTGTACAATGCACAACTGAGTTGGGAAGCTCGTTTGGTTTCAAGAAACTCAAAGAACCCATAATCATCGACAAGGCCGCCAGGGTCCCTTGTAATGAAGTAGGGACAGTATTACCCCAATGCTTGTCCCTAATTCGTGATAGTTCATACATACAAGGCCCAACTCATTAATTTTCACTTCCATTCCACGCCCCTATCGTGCTATTAAGGCCGCTATGAAGGTCGAATGTCATCGGTGCAGGACTCGCGTTCTACAGGAGCTGACGAAAGTTCATGAAACAAACACGATGCTGAAACAGGACGATAACACCTACCCTCAATCCTCATGCACATCCATCTCAATTTTTCTTTTCTTTTTGTATCCTTGTTTTGTGTCCGTTGGGGCAAAGCCCTATAGTAGACAGTAATCCATCTCATCAACCATACCCGCATGATACCAATGCGTCACAGTTGCAGAACCATTATCCCCAAGTCAGTGTACATGATGACTCAATCGCTATATGCCCTAATGACGTCTTCTGCAGCCGGTTTCGCATTCAGCCGTCCCTTCAGGCTTTCATTTCACGCCTCATCGTACCGAGCTTTATAAGTGACCCATCAGATCTTCAGACTCGGACCCATGGCGACGAGAACTTGAGCAATCGCGTAACAAACTTCTTCGGAGAATCGACGAGCTTATAATGGAAGAAGACAGGTGAATATGTCGCGAATACGTCAAAGATGTCAAAGTCTACCAAGTGCTCCCATTCTTTCGTGCAAACCCTGAAGAAGCTCGTCATCGTGTTTCAGAATCTGATGGTATACACTTACGCACACCTGAGACGCTGCACAAACAATATAGGGTAAGGTAACCAGTCATGTCCGATTCATCCAATTAACACGCTCTAGGTTTCTGAACGAACTGAAACAGAAAATCATAGAGTGGAGAAACTGGGATTACAATGATTTTATGATGTTAATCATGCATCGGATACTTTGAAGAGCCTTCTGGATCGCAGTGTAAGCCTCGTTTTTTGGTTTTCGGTCACTCCTTCTCATATCTTCCTGATAGGAAAGAGATCTGTGTCCTATGCACTTATCAGTCAAATTTACACCAAGACATATTGTTCCTTGCAATGATGCGGCAGTCCTTCGCGTCCTTCTGGCATGTGCGGAAGAAATTATGAAAATGACTTTTATGGCCTCGCACACAACCAAGCACAAGATATGGTCGATCTGCTTGAAGAGGTCAACTCGTATCTCTAGTTTATTTATGTGGTTGACTTTAGACATCCAGATCTTGCGACATCCTTCAACCGATCATGTTACACACGCACGGCTTTTGAGATATATCATTCGACTATCACGAAAATCTGGCCGTTTGCCATGTCAACTGCGGTTGGACGGACTATGTAGAGCCAATCCCGATGCGTGTTGTTGAGCAGGGTGGATCTGCAACTATCTTTACAGCGTCTTATAACCATCAAGCTGTTGCTATCAAGCGATCGCACCTGCCATCCATAGCCCAGTGTACTGTGTCACAAAGTGAGCAGTTTATCATCCGTTGATCTACACCCTACTCACCTGTCCGCATGTTTAGGACTTTGTGAGCGGAACAGTGATTTGGAGTCAATTGAAAACACGAGAATTTATAGGAGTCATAGACAAAGACTATAGGTTGTGGTTTGTTTCGGAGTTCATGTACAGTGGTAATGTGAGAACGTACGGGCAGGGAGAACTGCGATCTTCGGCATCTGGCAAGTTATATTACTGGTTATCAGCAACACCATTCGATTGGAGATTCTCTACCCAGGCAGAAGGAGCTGCAAAAGGTCTTGCTATCTGCATACTCTTGGTCCACCTATCGTCCATAGTGATCTCAAGGGAGTGAGTGCTTTTCATGTCAGAAAGGTTCGCAGGTTTATTCCATACGAGAAAACATGGATTTCAATAGCTCTTGACGGAAATAAGATAGGTAATGGCGGCAGCGAGCCAACAGTTTGCAATGGAAGAGACGAATAACAGTTTATGGTCTGCAGGACGAAAACAAAACTAAGATTGTAAGGGGATCCGGGGGGAATGGCCTAGGGTTTGATGATGAAAACTGCCAAAGTGACGGCATAAATGGTTCCCAATTGCCGAGAGTAAAGGGGGGAAGAAGGCTTGTCAGGAGAATGTGAAGCAGGAAGGTTAGATGATGGACGTAGCGTATTCCTTTACACTTAGGGTCGAAATCCTCGGGCATGGGGGTTGGTGACTTTCGTGGAGGCTTGAGCCAGGCACTATGATGAATAGGCTTCCGAAATGACTTGAGCACGGAGAAGGAATGGGTAGTTGGATAGGTGCAGGAGCGGACAGGATGAAAAGTGCCGGTGAAGAAAGGCAGCAGAATTCGCGAGGAATGGCAGGAAAGAAAATAGGAATAGTAAGGAAGGGACCTTTGCAGGGACTTGAGTAGCGAGATGAAAATGCGTGAGCGAGCGACAGTATTGTGAAAGGAGCCAGCGAATCGAGCGATGTAACCGTTGTAACGCGTCATGATGAAGAGAGGAAGGCTAGATGTGTGGTGCCGGTTCCTTCCAAACGTTCAGGCCTAGGAACCGGCAGCTTGGAAATCTGGGATTTCCGCCGGAGTATTGCGGGCCCCCGTACTAGTAGCAGTTGGGTATAAGCAGTGACTCATGCATTGCCACGGTGAGCAGTGACCATGATCTCTGCCAGGGTGCGATTGGATCCGTACATGTGCCTCGCTGTACGTGTCTATCCTAGTAAGTTCTTCTTCACCGTGACAGCGTGGCAGTATCTGTCCGTGCCACCGTGGTTGGCTGATCCTCGGATACCCCAAGTTTTTTTTCTGTAATGTGCTATCAGTGATCCCAGTCAACCTTGTGGAAGGAGTCGAAACAGAATATGAATGTGGGTGTTTTGCTCGCATCCCAGCGCTCCTTGTATAACTGATGCTGCCGATACTCTCAGGTTTGTATCGACCCTTTCAGGTCTCGCCCGGGGTGCATCTTTATGGCAAGAACGGTATCTATTCCTGATTTCAGTTGATGCGGTTTAGCCATATTTGTATCCGAGGCCGGGGAACTTCTTTATATTATCAAAGAGTTACCGACGTACCGTATCTGTCGGCTGCGTTCCGTTCGCATCGTTGTCGATAAGACTGGATTTTCCTACTCTTTGCCATAAGTCCGCTCTGTTTTTCGAAAAAAAGCTAGGATGATGTGGCCCGGGCTGCGGGATAAGTATGGTCAGCTATAATTGGTAAACTTTCCCCGGCTCGGACTCTGTACGCCACAATCACATGACCCAGAAACACTGACAACTGGCCTAGAATCTTGCGCACGTTATACCATCTTATTTAGGGAGACGACCATATGATTAGCCTGGAACGTGCATACACATTCATGAGTCATGACTGTGAGTGTTTTTGCAGGTGTACACAAAGATCTCCGCTTTTAAAACGTCTGGTTTCCAGGCTCAGCGAACTGCACTATACCTGAGTGTCTAACGCCACCGCACATCATCGTCGGCCTCAATGCGTTAAAGTCGACAACTCATAGTCAGTGCACAAGGCCATGAAGGAGTAACTTAGCCAATTGTGCACATGTAATTCATGATTGCTACCGATGCTTCACCTGACGGCAGTCGCGAAGATTTTGTCCGGTTTCCGCACATTGTATGTCCACTAAAGGAGAGCCATCATTGTATCCCCGACTGTGCAAGTGGAGTAATGCGTAATAGGATATGACAGTACACGTCTCTTCCTGTCCGTAGGGAACCTTATTTAAACAACTTAAATGCACTTTCAATGAGGTCCATCCTAACTCCTCCAATCCACCATGCTACAGCTCCCTGGCTTGCGCATGTCTGATAACACGTCGCTCACCCTCGGCGATGTTGCGGCTTGTGTTGGAGTATTAGGAACAATTGTTTGGGTTTACCTTCGTAAATCAGACAGCCGCCTTCCTCTTCCACCTTCTCCTCCAACTTGGAGACTTCGGGGACACTTCCTGCCCCCTCGCGAGTGAAGTTTCATATCTGCGACCTCATCTATAGGATCTAATTCTATCACATTTCTGATCAGGCCATTTCTTGCTGTCGGGCGGTGGATCGACGAGTATGGCCCTCTGATTACTATCCGCTCAGGAATGCAGAACATGGTGATTATCGGCCGCTACAAAGTTAGTCCTTTTATGATAAGTTAGTATCTCCAAACTCAACACTCCCTGACAGGCCGCAGTGGATATAATGGAGAAGCAGGGTAAAACGCTAGCTGATCGACCTCGCCTCGTTGCTGCTGGAGAAATTCTTTCACGCGGACTGACCCTCGGTTTCTGTGGTGTTGGGGACAGGCTGCGTCGGCTGCGCAGGTTCGTCGTCGCGATACTGTAAAGGCTCAAACAGCTCTCATGTTACTTCTCGATGCGATGCAGAGTACTCCATACGCATCTCCAGCCCAAATCAGCCGAGACGTATCAACCTCTGCAGATGTCACAAGCGAGAACCCTAATCCTCAACATTCTTGACGATCCAAGCAACTTTCAGAACCATGCGATAGCGTAAGCGGTTTCCTACCTGTGGCGCCGGGTATGTAACTTACGGGCTCTTGGAAGTTGTGCCGCATCGACGATCCTGAAAGTTGCATATGGGAAAACCTCGCCGACATCTGCAACTGACCCCGAAGTTAAGGAGGCTCGCCACATCATGTTCCGATTTCGTACAATCCTGCGCCCCGGTGCTTACTGGGTAGACTCGATACCATGGCTCAAATACCTTCCTTGGTATGCGCCAGAATTAAAAGACGACTTTAAGAGGACAACGCGACTCTACACAGACCAGCTGAATCGTGTAAAACAGCACATGGTAGGCATTGCCTTGCCTATCTTCACGTGATGTCTCAGTTGTTCCACAGCAGAAGAATGAGGATATTGGCCCTTCGTTTTCAAAATACGTTCTAGAAAATGGGCATCTCTACGACTTGACAGAGATGGAGATGGCGTATCTTGCTGGCTCCTTTTTCGGAGCTGGAACCGAAACAGTAAGGCGTCTTTCTGTTTTTTTTACGATTGTATACACTGAGGTGGGGTGACAGACTGCTACAGCGATATGCACGGTGCTAATGGCAGCTGCACATTTCCCTGAAGAGCAAGCTAAAGTACAGGCCGAGCTTGATGCAGTCATCGGAAAGGGGCGAGGTAGCTTGATTGTATACTGTAGTTCTGTCAAATCATTCATTTTTCGCCAAAGCACCGACCTTCGCCGATAGACCATCCCTTCCCCGTCTGGAGGCCTTCATCTCTGAGGCTTTGAGATGGAGACCGTTGGCTCCTTTTGGTGAGTTTCTGAATGGTCGGTCCTGTGCTGACGTTCACACAGTCCATCCCACAGGATTCCCTCACCGAACTACTGAAGACGTCATTTGGGCAAGTGTTTTTGAACGATTCGTTGTGAGGGTAATCTTACATTTGTCTGCAGGAGAACTATTGCATTCCTGCTGGAACTACGGTGTTCGGCAACCACTGGTAAGTCTATGTCCTTCGAGGTATCACATCGAATTTTCACCGCCTCAGGGCCATCTCTCGAGATCCAGAAGTCTATCCCGAGCCTGATGCGTTCAAGCCCCAGCGCTGGATTGACGATCAAGGTCGCTTGAGAGACGATTTCGCATTCTTTGTATACGGGTTTGGTCGGCGGTAAGCACTATCTTGTGGGATGCACTTTCTTTGATTGTCCTTCCTTCCAGGATATGCCCAGGTCAACACGTTGCGAACAGGTTATTCTTTCCACCCACATAATTTCCTGAATCTCATCTGATATGTTACAGATCGGTGTTCATAAATTCGCTTCTTATTCTTTGGGCCTTCCAGCTCAATCTGGATCCTACGAAGCCACAGGATGACATGGGGTTCGCGAAGACGTTTATGCCAGACGTCCCATGCGCTATTGAATTTCAGGCGAGGGTTCCAGAAGTGGAGCTTAGGCGTATAATACATAATTATCCTGAGGCTGGGTGAGGAGCCTTGACGTCTCGGTAGGATTCAATTTGTTATAATGAGGCTATAGAAATAGTTCTCAGCGTCTGGAGAAGAATTGCTGAGGTATGAACAGACACGAGAACATCCCAAAAACCAACCGTACAGCGCCAAAAAGTACGCCCCAAAGTGCGGCGGCACGAACAGTGACTAACAGTCAGTTGTTGAATCAATGTGTGTCAGCGATGTTGTGATAAGTGCCCTACTTTGCTCCAATGTTAGATGGTGTAATGACATGGTCTACAAACGAGCAAATGCTTGCCTGACCGACTTTGGAATCTCGAGATCTGATGATACACGTTGGATTCAAACCGACATGTATGCATTTGCTTGTGTGCTATATGAGGCAAGTGGTTTTGTCCTGTTCAAGTCATTAGGCTCATTACTCCCTGCTTTCACCTCACTTTAGACGGAACCAATTCGCGTCTACCTCACGTGCGCGTTCCACTTGAGCCCTTTGAGGCACCACCAAAGAAGGTTGAGCACTGCACTGATTCTGTGGATAACCGTCAGTACGCAGTCTGCGCGTAGTAGGCCTCAAAAGTGCTCACCATGGGTGTTTATTCGACTCGCCTGTCCGTGGCGACACCTACGAACCCTGGGGGCAACCCTGGGAGCCAAGTAGTCGAACGTTGAAGCTTGTCAAACCGGTAACCAGCCTGGGAGGATGAGTGGAGTCGTTAAGGAAAGTGGGGGAGGGAGTCTAGCAAACAACGCTGAACCCTCATCATAATCCAACTGTGGAAAGCGGAATATAAACCATGTAACCTCGGGAGTGAGGTAAAAACCATCCGACGCTTCGGCGACAGGACACCCGAGGGCTGATGACTGAATGGTAACATTCACGAGGCTGGTTAGTTGATATGACGAGACGAAGGGTTCTACCTTAGTAGTCGCGTGGTGTCAGCGAGGCGGAGACTGCTGCTACGGGAAACCTTGCAGTGGAACTGGAAACTCGGTGTTTTCTCTGTGTATAACTGTGTTGTACGTGGGGACAATTCTGAGCGGGCGGTAACAGTCATCAACCTAAAGTCGAATGCTGCCACATTTGACCATGGTTGTTGGTCTGGTTCGAGAGGATAAATCCTCCGCCGGTTACATAGGTACTTGAATCCTATGTAGCTCAAGTTATAAACAGGGGAAAAGCGCATGTGGAACCGAAAGCTTCCATGTGTTAGGACTTTGGTAGCATATGCTCCGATACCTGAAGCCAACAGCTAGACTGGATGGTGTGTAGGGAGAGGGGTGTAAGGGTATATAGTTGTGCCCGTAGGGGAGGACGCCGGTACGAGTCCGGGATACAAATTCGGTCAGCCGTTCAAACCTAGCGAAGATTCAATCACCAAGTTATCCATGATCACGAAAGAAAAATTTCCGCTTGCTGTCGTTGTGCACAATCACACTTCAGGACGAGAGAATATGTTGAATATCTTGTTGAGACGTCCATAAAAGGCGAAACAAGTGGACCAGCCATACAAACGAATCCAGAGGCTGGATAGTGATCGATGATCTAGGAGATGCTGTAGTAGTGACAGACCGGAAGTAGGTAAAGATTGTGTGTCCATTTATGGCGCATGGATGGGCGCAGTGTGTACTGAGGTTTCAGCTAGTCTGAGATTTTTGGTTTCATACGTTCAACGTACTACTTATCCGGAGCGCCACGAAAAGGCAATCTCAATTCCCCGGACTCGCTCCACCTGTTAGAAGCGACCATCAAGGATGCCTGGAGATCGCACCGCGTCACGCCTCGGTACTACTCCTCGATATTGAGGGTGCATTTCCCATCGCGGTCACGAAACGTTACTCCTACAGAATGCATGCCGTCGTGCTATCATCCGACTCACCGCTCACCCCAACACCGTGACGCATCCCCTCTACCACCCGATTCGTAAGGCTGCACATCGCTTTGTCGGCTCGCACCGTTCCTCTCTCCACAGACTCACCCATCGGCGACGGCAGCCTTCCGTTCACAGCCGGAATACTACCACATCGCCCTCAACAAACACTTGTACTGGATCTCGAAACTTCCGTCAGCCACATGCGATACACAGACGGTTCACCACAGTCTGCCCACAGTGTCCAGCCTTCGTCAGACAACGCAATGCGCTCAGGGAAGAAGTACATCACACGCACAGGACGGATCGAGAACACGTTCGGCGACGTGACCTCCAGTGGAAAAGGAGTAGAAAGATTGGACGCATTCACCACACCACTTATTGCCTTAAGAAGGCTCTAATGTTTTCGCCAGAACCATTGCTGAAGAATGAGACAAACGTTACGTATCACGATACAAGTATATACAAGTAGGTAATGGACAACGAACAATAAGCGAGGATCAAAAAAGCAGTATGCATAGTTAGTGGAAAAAGGAACAATCATAGTACATCAACGTCGCCGAGCTACAAAATGATCTCTCAGAATCTAAACAAATCAAAACCATGTTTCAAAAAGTGGACAAGCAAGACTGTCGGTCTGTAATCGCCAGGAAAGAACCTGGCCCCGATCAAACCAACTCTCGCCCATGCATCAATCATGAAGGTACCCCAAAAGACTAGCCACAGCAAAGTCCACAACAAGCCCCAAAACCCATCGACACGTAAGCCCGTACGTTTCTTCCACATGTCTTCAAGAATTAGACCGACGGCTTGCATGATGAAGAACCCAAACACCGCAACAGGGTGACCACCTCGTTCCATTGCCTTCAATACAAGATAGTGCAGGACGCCTGAGATGAGGAATGCGCCCATCACCCCTCCAGGGCGACCAAATAGGCATGACAATGGTCGGGCGCCGACTGATATGAAGTACTCCCGAAGCAATTGATGCCACTTGCGACCCCAAAAACTGGTCAATGATGTCGAAAGCCATGGGGTATCAAACAAGGGCGGCCATTGAGATGGTGCTTGTCTGAATAACAAGACAAACACAATGGTGTATATCTGATACAGCGATTCAACCATAAAATATACTGCCAAACCAGAGAGGATCGTAATGATGGCAGACCGGGTATAGCGACTGAGGGGCGGTAGTGATGCGTCAAATATTGTGTCCCCTTCAGTTGATCCGAATATTTCCGGAGAAAGATAGTGAGCGGCTCTAGAGGCGGCATCAAATGCAAGCGTGTTGAACAATAGCTTCGCGAGAGTGCCGAGCAGGAACTTTGATGTTGACTCTGTTCCAAAACTGCTCTTTGGAATGCGTAGGCCTTTCGTCCAATCCCACCCAATCCCGCGAAGATTAACTGATAGATCCCATGCATTCCAGAATGCGGTAGATAGTGGGATATCCTCGACACTGGTCATCCGGTTGCTTGTGCTGTCTGACATGGTATCACCGTTGAACGTTTTGTTCGGTTGTAAAGCGATTCGACTATATGGTTTTTTTGCGAAAGCCCAACCGGTCGATCGCATCGAAAAGGTGAATACGGCGGCCTGAGTTGTAACACTTGAATGAGACAGGCTCTTCATGACGGATAACTTGTACAGTGCACTCACAACTAAGATTTGATTGAGGAAACGGTAATCGGGAATACCGAAAGAAAGATCGAGCGACGAGCCAGCTCGATATGCACATAGCCATGTAACTGGAAGAAGCGCAAAGCGGATCATTGCAGTGCGTTTTCGTTGAACCAGCACGGCCATTGCAAGGTACGAAACAAAGGCCGGCAAGAAAAATGTTGAAAAAGTCGACACTGACAACGAAACTCTCTCCTGGGATACAAGTAGCCTACTGAGGCTGACCATGCTGAGAGCTTTTGTCAATGATGAACTGCTATGAACATAGGAAATGCGGTATACCTTGTAATGTATGTCCAACTGGCGAACTGCACAATCCGATGTGTTGATAACAAGACAAACTTCGTTCTGTGCAGTGATGGACATTTATACTTCTTTGTGAGTCGGAACTTTACCTAGATTGAAACAACTTTGAGTTTGAGGCCTCAGGCCAGAGGCACCTTGAAGTAGCCCTATGATGATAGACTAAGACAGTACTTATCTCAACTCGTCTTGTATGGTTCTTAATGGAAATTATTTACGGTTGGCCGTCCAATTCGAACGCGCGGGATCAAAGGCGAAAATGATGTGAGGCAGACAACGAACTTCGCATGTCTGTGGAATTTGCACTTCGACGAATTGTCGGCGCAGAGCAGTGATGCGCCATTTCGTACTAACCCCTTCTCTGCTGACATATTTTGTTGCACTGCGCCTATCGTGTTCGCTTCCAGGTCTAGGCGAAGCGAAGGTGTGTTCGGATGGGTGACCGCAATCAGCATAATCGCCAGCAAGAACTCGCCGGTTCACTGATGGCCATAGTTAGATTGTAGTCTCATCACCTCGGGCAGCGCAGTCCTACCGCCGAAAGTGAAAACGCATGCAGGAAGATCACTTGCCACTATCTTATGTCCCTAAAAGGAGAGGCACGAATCCATCCATTTTCGAGAACCGCTTTTTGTCAAGAGCGTAGGGAATACAAATGATACCATGAAAAGAGCAAGATAACGCCATGACAATCAAAATGCGAATGATAACAGTTCCGACGCTCAATCAGCTGAAACCGCCATGCGAAAGTTTCAGAACACACAAGAGCTGAAGCTTAAGCTTTAAGACATACCTGAGCCAAAGTGGGGTTCGAGTACCGACGACACGGATTGGTTCCGCGGTCGATTGGTTTTCAAATTCCGCTCGCCCGACCGTTTCTCGTACACGTGACGTTGTTACTCGCAAGACTTTGTTTCAAACTTCCAAAGAAAGACCCGAGCCGCCAGGCTTCCCTTGCCATGACTTTTTGGGTATCTGAGGGTATCTGGCTTTCCATATATAACTGTGACATGGATTATGTAAGCTGTAGTCCGAAACGCTAAATAAAACAAAAGGGATCCTCTCCACTTCCAACAGCTGAAGAACAGATCTTTACATATGCACAGCACACCCTGTCCATATCGTCTTGATTGTAGTCTCCAAGTCTTGTGAAGTTCAGAATAAGAAAGAGACATGTATCACTCAATGGATATCTGTTGCTGAAGAGGAACGCCACCTGGGGAATATGATGACTGGCGCTCTGAGATTTGGGCGGTGGGTAAGCACTGTGAGTTCCTGCCGAGTTCTGATTTAAAAAAGTTAATCACCCATTCCAAACGCATTGATGACCTGCATCTTGACAGGTGTATAAGACTGACCATGCGTCTTAGATTCGGATAGTCCCTTGTCAAAGTCACGGAAGCACTTGATTCCGATCGCGAACGAGGCTAAGAGGAGCAAGAAGGCGACGACGGCTAAGTATAGCCGCCGGATAGTGGTTTAGCATCATGATGAAACAGATTACGCTGTATGTGACTTACTGAAGACGGTCAATGTGGCACGAGTTGAAATGTACTGTTCCTCAGAGGAAGGCTCATAAAAGCGAACGAGCTTGTACACTAAAGAATGTGTCAACTCGCGAGATGATTAACACATGATATACACATACAGACTAAATCATCCTATCAGTTGCCGGTCAATGCATTAAAATGAAACACCTCACAATAAGACATCGCAGCCACCATCAATGCAAGGGCCGTAGTCATCAACCTAGCAGATAATTCAGATAATCACGCAAAGTGGATGCTGGAACCATCATACCATTTGACTTCATACTTGACAGCACGTGCGCAACCGGCCAAAAGAAACAAAACGACAGGAATCGCTGCGATTGTGATACCGAATTCAGCAGAATTCCTGCTGAGAACAACGATGAGAAGCTGTGAATTTTCAGTCCCTGGACAATCTTCAAGAGCCACGATGTTCACCTGCATAGTCACCCCCACGAAACAGAAGAAGTCGAATTTAAGTAAGCAGATGAAGATTTGATAGAATTGATACATCGCTATTTCGAGTCAGCGCCATATCATCAAGATTGAATACATAGCTCACACTTGAATTTCGGGTTTGCCCCAACAACATGGAAGATAACCCATCTGCAATATTTCAGTAATGAGCAGCATACGCGATAAGCTGTGTGATCGTACCCGAACTCATCATACAGCTGCTTGATCCAGAACATCAAAAAGAACCACGACGCAGCAATTATGCAGGGAGCCACGATTAGAAACCGTTGGACCTTATTCCATAGTTGATTTGTGTCTACGACGCAAGGAGCCTGGCAATTATATATAGCGACACGGGTTTCATGAACTTGAAGAGCAGAAAAGACTATGAGAGCTCCATGAAAAACTACGAAGTGTTCAGAAAGGAGGAGGCGTCTTCAGACAAGTCGACACTTACGAACGATACCCATGAGCTGGATAATGTTCCGTGATCGTAGAGCATCAAGTGCCATTATTAGTTCGAATATCCTGCGCTATTGTCAACAGCTTGGGAGTGATCGTGAGTACAACTACATACTCTGCTAGAATAAAAAGGGCCAAGTAGCATGGCAATGTCTTCATGATGTGAGCGGTTCAGCTTGTTAATGATGTACGTAGAAAAGTACCTTGTACCCAAGGTCTGTAAACTCCGTCCCTGCGTTGACTTGAACCTTGACGTCAGCTAGTTAGCAGACGTATCGATTCGACTGCAGAGCTACACTCACTATTCCGAATGTTAATCCAACCATAGCTACTACCACAATGGCCTCTATGGGCACCTAGGTCAAATCTTGATCAAGAAGCTTCAAAGAAACTACTAACGGACTGCAACTGTGGCAAAGGTTCTTGAATGACAAGGTCACAAAATATTGGGATATAAACGTACTTGTGATGATGAAAGCCTTTTGGGCTCTCGTCCCAAATAATGGTTCAACAGCCATGATGAAGCAGACCGTCAAGCCTTCGGCCGTAAAATGAGAGAAGTTGGTGGTTCCGAGTCGTCGGTGAACGTCACGGTTCGTGCAGCTGTGACACTACTAGCCGACTAGCCAAATCAAGCTCCCAATGTGGCTGTGTCTTCCTGTGTTTACCGAGCTCTCGTCGGTTATGCAGTTGTTTCATGCTCGATTTTGTGTGTACATACTACAGGTATGCACCGAGCATGATTTAACATGATCGGTTAGTTGTGAATGATCAGGATTCAGCGAATCCGAGTCCGAGTCGTGCTGGAGCGATGGCCCCCCATGATCGAGCTTCGACGCCGCGTTGCAATCATATTGACAGAGTGAAAAAGTGACATATTCTCCGGCCCCGCAGACGTCAAGTCGTTCACCTACATACGCCCGCACCGACATCGTGTGACGAAGATGAAGTCAGTGACCGATAGCTGTTCGACGCTACGACCATCAGTTGTGTACCTCTCGCTAAGCAAGCACGACCTAACACGACTGACATTGCTTGACATGACATCGTGGAATTCAGCGACAGACCCAGTTATGACCTCGGAGGGCATTTCGATAAAATTTCAACAAGTGTATTTACCACTACAGTGCAACATCAGTTACCAAACGGTCAGTGTTGCCGGGAAATAAGTTGATGTTCCATGTTCTCTGATTCCACCAGCTTTAATGATCCAGCTTCGTAGTAAGTGTATGGTCATGACATGCAATACGATTATGCTTTGAGGCTGTTCAAATATTCAACGAGACATGATGTCGTGAAGTATCCGAGTGCCACATGAATTTTAATGGCCCCCGATATGATAGTGCCCTTGATGGATCTAGGCACTGGGACATCGACTCTATTTCATGAAAAGATCAATGTTATTAACTCAGAAATCATCCCCTCTCAGCGTACGTTCCTTGACAGCCGCGGCTATCAACAACTCTTCCCTCCAAAGCGTCCGTATATTCTCGCACATCCAGGGAAGCCAACGGTCACTGCCACTGTGACCATACTCCTCGGCGCCGTCGTTCTCGAGACTGTCCAGACCGGCCTGGGCTTTGGTGATAATCTTATCGCAAATCGTGATCAACGACTCCTTCCAAGCGAGTTCGTTTCCATCAGATATTATCTCTCGTTTGCCTGCTATGACATCGCGCCACGATTGGATGGCGTTATGGTGGATTGTGTTATTTGAGACAAAAAGACAATGAAGTCTTAATGCCGTGATCAAGCGCCAGGATGGCTGCGCTGATTCCGCCGAGCAATATAGGGTCCAATCTCTACGGTAACTTAATGAGGCAACTTAATTGACCAGAAGTTGAAGACATACATACCCCCAATAACCTTCGTCCTCGAGAACGCTTTTGACGAAGACACCGGATTTGTGATCGAGTATTAAGGATTCCACTACATCTTGTACATCGACTTCACCATCCGTAATTTCAACGTTGCCTAATGACTCGTTGACAAATCCGTATTCGACGAACAGCGTGCGGTTAGGATGGGCCCCGTAAGCCAAAAAGATCTCTTCGCCCTCTTGAACAGATGCATCTGCTGGTGAAAGAAATCTAAATCCAATCTGCTTTACCGGCGCAGAGTCCCAAATATCGGCCTCTGATGGAGCTGGAGTCATACTATGCAGCCTATTCGGGGTATGATTGGCGAAGTCGAGGATGGGACATAAAGTAAGATTATCGGGGTCTTCTTTCGATGCTTTCAGACGGTAATATATGCAGCGCGTGTTTACTGGAGGCGAGGTGGATAAGGGAGTCTCGTTCATGTAGAAAATACGTGCCATTCAACCAAGCCCACGCGTAATTGCTGGTAGAAACGTCATTATCGTCCGAATATGCATCATATTTTGAAGAGATGTACGAATTCGCGGTCTGCTATGGCTTTAGACTTTGAAACTGAGTGAGTATTTCCTACCAAGTACGCTCGGATTGCATCCCAGTCTTGACAAAATCGGTCATGCAGCTTAACCAAGCATGCATGCACACTCGGCGGGAGGTGCTTAAGCAGTGGGACCCCTCCGGACTCCAGGCCACGTTTTGATCGCACGATCCAGGTCAAAGGATGACTGTCGAACTCCCTAGGAAGTGTTGAAATGTATGGTCCATAGTGAGGATCTAGTGAATCCTCACTTCCATGCGGGCGGTTGATATACAGATGCAAAGATATCATTTGCGTGGCGGTCAAAGGAGTGGGTCCAGATGTTGGATGGAGGGACTTTAACGTCCCGATATTCATCAATGCCTGAGGCGGCACTGCAAATAGCAAGGAAGATGGCTGTCCTGTTTGTCAGGGCAAGGCTCAATCCATATTCACACGAAAGCCCACAGTACACAACGTTCGAGCAAAAAGACCATTCCCAGCAGCTGTGTGTCCAGATGGATGTTAGATCGAGCGGTGGCCGTCCGGAAAATCGGTTGGTGACTCAACTGGGTGTTTCTTTGCACTCGATAAGCAAGTCGCCTGCTCCTGTTTTCATCCCTCGAGTCCTCAACCATGCCAGCAGCTTGGGCCATCGATAATTCAGCGACGATTGCGAGTTTGAGATGCTCGCCATCATGGAAATGTTGACGTTATTCCCACTATGTGCCACCATGTCATGGGACTGAAGAAAATATGCATGTATGCGGCTCTCCGCGTCTATCTTCGGGTCGTCCATGATGGAAATTCCGGCCCGTGACATGCCATAAAGCTTGAGATCTATTGCTTCTTCGTGCATCTCTTGCATTCGACGATCGGATACTATCCCCACAGAGCATTCGTTCACCCAGCAGGTTCATCAAATCCAATTTCTTACTTGAAACATGACCGTCTTCAATGCATCTCGCCTTCTTGGCAAGACAGTCCTTATCACGGGAGCAAGTTCTGGTATCGGAGCGGTGTGTACAAACCTAGCTTTGAGGGAGACACCAATACTGATCTGATCATCGGCTCACAGGCTACCGCCCTCTTGTTTGCCAAGGTAGTCCGCCATGACATGCTATATCTCTGATCATTCATATCTCATAGGGAGGTTCCAACGTCATACTTACCGCTCGACGAGCAGATGCGCTACAGAAAGTTGCAGATGAATGTACTGCTGCCCACAAAGCAGCTGGCCTGCAACATGGCGGCAAATTCTTCACTATACAAATCGACGTTTCAGACAGAAATCAAATCAATGGCCTCCTAGAAAGGATACCCGCCGATCTTCGCGAAATAGACATCCTCGGTGAGTGGATCTATCCCCTGTAGTGTTCATATGAATTTGAATTTGGTTACAGTAAATAATGCTGGATACGTCGTGGGAGTGGACAGGGTTGGCGACCTGTCTCTGGATAACGTGGAGGGCATGTTCGCAACCAATGTGTTTGGCTTGATCGCCATGACCCAGTTGTTCATCAAGGGTGTGTATTTCAGCCCTTGGTCATAACTTTCGCTCAGCCTCGTAGACTTCAAGAAGAGGAAGACTGGACATGTTATTAACCTTGGTTCGATCGCTGGCAGGGAAGCTTATGTTGGGGGCAGCATCTACTGTGCGACAAAACATGCTGTTAGCGCATTTACGGGCTCGCTCATGAAGGAGCTTGTCGACACTCCCATTCGTGTCACCGAAATTCAACCAGGTATATGAACCACTATTGCAACCAGGGCTAAACTCAAGTCGTTGGTAGGTATGGTGGAGACCGAGTTTTCTCTCATCCGTTATAAAGGCGACCACTCCGCGGCAGACAAAGTCTACGAGGGACTTCAGCCTCGTGAGTGGTTTAACATAACTATAACCCGCATATACTCACATATCACAAAGTGATGGCTGAGGACATTGCAGAAGAGATAGTCTGGGCTGCATCGCGCCCTCCACATGTTAATCTCGCTGAAGTCTTCGTGCTCCCGGTGAACCAAGCCAGTGCCACCCTCAGCTACAGGGCGCCGAAGCTGTAATATCCCAGTTCTGATTTAATACTCGAAGTCATTGTATCATAGACATTCCCTACAAGCCGATGGAAGCAAACGACAGTGTGTCAGAGACAATAAGGATACAGCATCGACAGCATCGACAAATGCGCATTAGAGAGTGAATAGAATATGCAGCCTAGCTAACTCTTCGATTTCTTACTCTTCGATCTGGTGATTTTTGGGGGTATAACCTCTTTCACCACCACCTCAGCGTCGTTGTCATACACAAACTTCTTTACCACGATGTTCTCTGGGTGAAGGTCAGTGAGTGGATGCTGCTCGACATCCATCACGTTGCCCAGAGTGTCTAAGCGAAGAGTCTGGAGGAAGGTGAGCAAGAACGTAGTACAAAAGTCACGCAAACCACTTGCCTTGGACGTCGGGGCTAAGCAGCTTTTCTCAATGACAAAGTCCTTAGTCCACGAGTGAGGTCGAGGATGAACCTCATCCAAATAAATTTCCGTGGATAACCCCTGATGCCACTTCACCCGTTTGCTTTCTCTTTCCCCTTCCTGCTGAGGGCCTTCCCCAAACCGCAAACGTTTGACCGGGCGATCAGGCCTAACTGGCGTCTCATAATCCTCCACTTCTCCTGGTCCCCTACGATGCTTCGTCCAGATCACCCCATCATTTTCATCATGTTCTTTATCAAATCCAAGGATGGATTGATCACCCAGTTCGCTAGCACCTTCACAATCACTCAACCCGGGCCCGTCTTCACCCCGCTTCGCCCTCCGCTCAGCTCGTTCAAGTCGTTGCCGATCCCTCATATCTCTCTGTTTTTGCGAGATCGTCCGAACCTTGATTGCAGGGCTCTCTGGCCTGGTGCCATCCTTGCGAATTACCTCCCTTTCCAGCTTTGCGAAAATTTCCTGGTTCTTTGTGGTGTTGGAAGTGGTGAGGGCTTGGAGGGCAACTGCACTCATCCCCATGAAGCCCTCGCCCTCAGAGCGCCGTGAACGTCGAAGCTGGAGAGGTTGCGTCGAAGTGGAGGGACCAAAAACGTCGTTGGCATGCTGCGCTGCAGGCTTGCGTCGAGGCGTTCGACGGCCCCGACCTCGATTTGCTGGTGGCTGATGTGCAGATGCTTCCACCGTTTCTTTGGGCTCAACAACATCATGTGATGGCTTCGCAAGTTCAGGTTCTGGTAGAGCAGACGGGGAGGTTGAACTGGGAGGCGAAGATGATTGGGTGACTGGTTCCTCAGACACGATCAAAATCTGCGGGCTGCTTTTGTGGACATCGGTGGCTGGAGGATCAGATGCAGTCGTTTTGATGGGCGCTGCATAACGCGCTGATATGACTCCGGGCTCGACTTTGCGGAACTTTATAGGACCAGGCGGCTTCCGAGGACTTGGCTCTGGTAGAGAGGGAGCCGATGGTGGGAGCCCAGGTGCTGCTTTTGGGGCATACTTGCTACCAAGCATCCCGGGCACAATCTGGCGGACCATCACATGATGAGTAGGGGAAGACGTAGCAGTCTCTTCTATGCCACGCTTTCGCTTCAGGGTCGAGAGTACTGATGGCTCTGCTACAGATTTCCCATCGAATTTTCGATTTAGTGGTGGGGCGATGGCAGATGATTCTTCGGAGCTGCTACTACCATTGCCAGCGGGAGCTGATTTGAAAAGTGGGACACGCTAATGAGCGCAATTCACGTCAGTACAATCCAGCAACAAGCACGCTTGGAGAACTTACCGGTCCAGTACCAAAGGCAGGTAACTTTGCAGCTGTGGATGTAACCGGCTTCTTCGGCTGTGGTCTAGCATAAGGCTTGGCGCCGATTCTTGGTATGCGACTACCAATAGAGGGCTGTTTCAAACTAAACTTCACAGGACTGGAGGACGACGCAGCCTGATTAGCGATTAAATCTTCTCCGACAAGCTTCAGATCCTTCTGCCTCTTCAGGGATAGATTGCGGGAAATCTGTCCCTGTCTTCTGCCCATGCACTAGAGGGAACGGCAGTTTGGCGCCAGATCTCGGTTTGGAAGAAAAATTAGGGAACATAGGTTCTTTGCCTTTGTTATCAGCGGCACGGGGTAAGGGGTCTACAGAATGACTTCGGATAGGTTGAGAGACAATGGGTTTCGGTTCCGCTGAGGCACTTCGAGCCCTCGCACCTGCTGGTCGAGTTGGAGAGCGCACAGGACTGTTGAAATCTGTGATTAGAATTCGCTTAGCAGGGCTACGAGATGGATCGTCCAACGCAGGGCGCGAAAAGACGGGTCCACGCATGCCCACCAACCGTGTAGATGTATCACGTTTCGCAGACAATAGCATTGTGTTTTGTGAGGATGCAGAGCCCTGTACGATGGCATCTTGAATGGGCACCCTTCTCGCTGGTGTGCGAGAGGCATCCTCGACGGTCAAGGAAAACTTGAGATGAGAGGAAGAACCGAATAGATTTCCATTCGGACGAATAGGTGTTGGAGCGACAACCAATGACCGCTGCACAGTAGCCAGAGGATGCTGAGAATCTGACTTTGGCCTCTGTGGTGTCAACAATGGAGGGTCCAAAGATACAGAAGAAATTTCACGTTGTGGTAGCGAATACTGTCCCTCTGGGAGTGGCGTAGATCGCTCGGACGGCAACAAACGCGTTAAGACATCCGCGGACTGAGGAGAAAGGGACCCTAATTCCCTTTGGAAATTGGGGGTGGTGTCATATTTCCCGTTTAATGCCCGTCTTCGTGAATCGTCGTCTCTCTTTATCTTCTACCAATCCTTGAATATCAGGGTATGGATCTGCATCACCACGATCAACAGTTTGCTCATCCCGCATCAGAGGAACGTTCCCCTCGGGCGCGGTTGTTGTCGCCTTCGATTTTCCTTTGAGTTTCGGCGTTTCCGGAGGTTGTTGTGTGTGAGTGGTTTGGTTGGGGCGTGGAGTCCCACTAAGGCGTGCTGATCGCCGCACGGGTAATCTTGCATGTTCCTCAGTGACATCCGGTGCGCTGGAGGTGGCGACCAACGGCGAAGGAAAGCTGGAGTGTGGTGGTCTAGATTCCATGCCAGCCGGTGGGCACCCCTGAGGAAGCTTATTTAGGCTATCCGAGGAATTAGACCGTTCTATGCCGTCTACACGAGGGGCAGGTATGACAGAAGGATGCTCTGGGGAATGCGAGAGGAGATCATCTACGCTGGACGATAAAGTTTGAATTGGAGAACCACAGGGACGTCCTTCTGCAGAAGATTCCGCAGTCTTGACTAGAGCGGAGCAAGATTCAAATGAGATGAGATCGGGCTGAAAGATGTTACCAGCAGAATCATGTGGAGGCGAATTCTGATCATAGGAAACTTGATGCTGCGGTGGTTCTTGCGACAAAGCACGTTCTGTCGGGGAGAACTGGCTCAGTCTCTCACGCAAATTTATGGGGCGAAACGGGCTAGGGGGTGCAGATATATCTGGGAATGGTGTGCGTCCATCCCTCATCACAAGACCAAAGTAAAGGGTGGGGTGGGCCCGCGGAGGAGGGGAAGGATTATCGCAAGCCCGCATAATTCGACTTGCAAGAACGGAGGATGGTTCTGAAAGTCCATGTTTGGAATTTAGCTGCGAAGAGCAGACGAACAGAGCTCACCGTTCTGGCCCAAGGTATCATTCTCAGGCGTGTCTTCACGAGATAGATGAGCAGCCACATCAGAGATCTCATCTGCATCTTCGTCGCTTCGTTCAACACTTTCGTCCGGTGCGCGCGTGATTTCCTGTGGCGATGGAGGGGCATGGAGAGTAGGCAGTCCCGATGGACGAAGGAGAGAGTCGACGGTGCCAATACTTAGTTCACGTCTTCGCGTGACCTCACTAGCGATGAGTCTCTTCTCCGGTGATTGCACTGGACCGAAGTAGACTCTCGCAGTTGAGCAATTGACAGCATCACTGTCGGTGGAAGCAGGGGAGTTGGTGTCGTCGGTATTCATCAAATTGTCCACGATTGTTGCAATATCTATGGACGTTAAATGGAGAGCCGTAAGACATTCAGTACGGCGGAACAACAAAATCGTTCAAGGCCTTGAATATAGCAGAGTGATGATCGACGATCGACCAAAGCTGGCCGAACTGTTGGCTGTTCACGACATGCACAACCAACACAAACGTCCATGTACGCGTCACACGTGACTTATGCAACCTCATCATTCACCATCACTTTCACTTTCAAAGGCTGCACACAAAGCTACTCAAAGGCGTTTCTCATCTAACCTGCATGATACGGTGCCCTAAGGATACAGGACAGGACAAGACAAACACAAAGTTGAGCAAACATAATACAGGGCACATGGACCACGCCACTAAAACGTTGCTACGGGCGGGATCACGAAATGATGCTGCATGCTGGACTTACAATCTACAGATCTATGCGAGAGGATGCAAATGGACGTCTTGAATTATACGTATGATGGGAGTCTTTTGTCTAGGCCGAGGGCCTTCGTCAAGATAGTGCCTCCACCTGCATCGCGGTGGTCTGTCGATCAGCAGAAGAATTTCGACGGGTGGATGCGATCGATGTTGCACGATAATCTGCCTCACGTGAGCTATCCTGAGGATTTTGTTTCAGCTACACCTGTATTAAAATTTCCTGTCCAGACCGATGACGCCACCCACTAGTTGTTTTTCTTTGGCAAGCAGTTCAAATGTTCGCGTCTGCATAGCCAAGGACGACTTCATGGCCGCCAGCAAACCTCTATAGTCAACGTTTTCCTCCTTTACAGGAATCGCTGTTGGCGTAGATGATTCCACCCGACGACGTTTTGAATCTGGCGATCGCGACCATGCCTTGGACCCATGTTCAGCACCTGCTGCTCCATTCTCTCTATCATCGTCGGCTGAAGTATTCTTCAACTCCGATAGCTTCGTCCAGCTCCCCCCAGGATTGGTACCGTGCCTTCCGTTTGAGCAAGAGCGGACTGTAAGATCGAAAATATGACTGCAGAGCCACATCCGTTTCTGTGTGCAACAATGCAATGGCGCGCTCCAAGTTGATATCTGTCGTTTTGACAATGGTCGTCACAATATTTGAGAGCAGGCTCTCCCACAGAGAATCTAGTTCTCTAACGCGCGTTGCCACGCGCTCTTTGGATTTCGCGTGACTTGTTATGACGGCTGCCAAAGCAGGAGTCACCGCCATCGCAGTAGACGGCGCAGCTTTGGAAAGCTCGGTAGACAACTCCGTAAATGCCTTTAATTTGTCTTCTTCCTTGTCAAGCTGACATGAATCTTGAACCAGCTGGCTGCACAGCCTGTTGCTTTTTAGTCTTTCCGTATGCATCAATCACAGGAGGTCTCTTACCTTGCAAGACGACTAGAGAACTCGCTGATGACGTCGATGGACCTCTTGTTGTCGTCTCTCGATTGAAAAGACAGATTTCCTGGCGTCATCTGAGAAGCATCTAGACGGTCTTTTCCGTGGCGACTGCCGCTCTCAGGATTGTCACCTGAATCCATAACCGAGGACCGGATTGCATGCTGATATCCGTCAGATTAGATCTTGTCGTCCGTAGAGCCGGTATGGAATACTGACCCCCTCGGTTCTCTTAGATCGCTTTGAAGAATGTAATGCCCTCTCTTCGTCAGCCCTCTCCCGGGAAGACCTTCGGACATCCCTGGAGCGATCGCGGTCACGCACATAACGCTCCCATGAATCGAAGTCCCTATCACGGCGGTCACGCTGAATAGGTTTTACTTCGCGGTCACGACCGCGCTCTCTATCGAGCTCCCCATGATTTCGCCTGAACAAGTCAGACTGTGGCACGAGTGGCGATGAACGAGGGCCTCGTTGTAAAGGACTTGTCGATGAAGCTTTTGGCTTGTGTTTCGGTTTGGTCTTGGATTTTTCGCATTTGGTATCATTATAAGCAGACTTTTCGGGGTTGACGCGGCCTTTATCCCATTGAAGATCAGATGGGTGAATAAACCTGCAGATCGCCAAGTTAGGACGCGTACATGTCGAGATGGAGAGCACAACGCGTACCGACAACGACTTCCTTGGTTGCAGAATGGCTTTATACCTTTACCATGCTCGTCAAAATACTGTGAACACAGCGGGCAAACCGATGGACGCGTCTGACGCGTCAGCGGAAGATCGATCAAGATTGAACTTGGAAAGGTACGTACACGACAGCGCATTGTCTTATAGAGCGACATGATATTGGTACAAGGCTACCTATTGGCAGTAAGAGAAAGGTGTGTCGTGGCGGTTGAGAATAGGCGCAAAATGATAGAAAGAAAGGCGGGGAGGTTAGCTTTATAGTGTGGGCCTCGTCCAGGGGGTGTGACGGAGCGCGTGACTCGTCCGAAGCTTGAGCTTTGCGAGCTTCTTCGATGCTTCCGTTGCAACTCGCCGCCAGATGGGCATCCGATCCCCAATGATATTCACGACAGGAGGATCTGTTGAGTTGGCGACCCCGTATTAGTATCATGTCCAACATTCCCTGCCTGGTGCATATAGCTAGATCAGTTATCTTGCCATCCGACTACTAGTACACGGTTGAAGCGTCTAAAGATTAGTCCAGCTTGCATTCATGGTGTTTGGAAATCATGATCGATATCGCAAAGACATTATGTCCATACAGTAGCGCGCGTGTTGATCCTTCTGCACGAGGACTTGAGTTGTAAAGGCGCCGGCTTCTCACAATCGACTAGCTCCGGTTTCATCACCTCGACTTACTAGAGTCTCACAGATTTCCGTCTTGTCTAGTCTTGCTCTTGTCTGTCCTTACCCTGTAAGCGACGCTCGCTCTGCTCCCACCACATCGTCTTATGTTCTCGCATTCTCTCGCTGCCTAATATGAGTTCATTTTTCAACTGGTGGAGTGCACGCTATACCACGGAAGTACGATATCCAAAAGAATCTACTCTGATAGTCACCAAGGAACAACATTCGAACACAACCAGTGTTTTCCTACGCGATTTTGTGGAGCGACGATGCCCATCACTCTATTCGGAGTTCCGTCCCGTATGGTGGTTGCCCAAGTACGCCAAAATATTATTATTATTGAGTTTACAGGTTGTTCATGCCAACTCAGCGGCCATATGCAGACTCTCTATTGCGTCCTCGGAGATTTTTCAGCCAGAGATAAGGTGGTGTATAAACGGTGATGATGTTCATGCGTACGTTCGACAATGGACTCTAACGCAATAAGTTAGGACCCTGCTCCGCCTGCTCGACGGCGGAACCCTGTAAGTTCATTTCCGGCGTCTGCTTTCGATGATATGCTTCATATCAACTAGGGGTTTGGACTTCACACCGGCGGATGACAGCCATTTGCCACCCGACACTCCAATCATCGTCGTCCTGCATGGGCTCACAGGAGGTATGAAGACTTCTACATGATAAACAGCTGGAATCTAATCATCCAAACCTTCTCAAGGTTCATACGAATCGTACGTGAGAGCTATTCTCTCTCCCGGGTGCGTGCCGGTCCACCAGGGCGGACTCGGATATCGTGCAGTCGTGGTTAATTTCCGCGGATGTCAGTTCCCATTCTGAATGGACCCACACACATTGTCATGGATGTTGATTGTCCCGCAGGCGCAGGTGTCCCGGTCATGAGCCCACAACTCTACTCCGCTGGCCATACAGATGATCTCCGTCAAGCTTTATTCTACATATCTCATCGATATCCAGAAGCACCTTTATTGGGACTATCTTTCTCTCTTGGAGCGAATGTTATGACACGGTATGTCGCAGAGGAAGGTGAACGTAGCCGTTTGAAATCAGCATGTGTTCTCGGATGTGTACGTGCTTCGCAGGTTTAAGCTTGAACTGTGACAATTTCATTTATCAAGGAAGCCCTGGAATTTAGCGGCGAATTCTTCCAAGTATGTCCAACATCTTTCTTACGGATCCGTTTACTGACACCGGCCAGGCTCTTGACGACGTATATTGGACGTCATGTTTACTCGAAAGGCATGGGCCGGAATTTGGTTAATCTTCTGAAGCGGCATGTTAGCACGTTTGCATCCGATCATGAGGTCGCTAAAGCTGCCGCTGTGACTATGGCCCTCACTAAACCCACGATCGATATGTTTGACGAACACTTCACGAGAATTGGTGGTGGTTCCTCGCCTCCTTGGCCCTTCGCATCAGCAAATGATTATTATGAATATTCATCAAGCCACAATGTGCTTAACAAGATAAAAATCCCACTCCTGGCCATCAACGCTGCAGATGACCCTGTGGTTCAGGATGTGCCAATGGATGTGGAAGGTAATGGGTGGGCAATCATGGCCCTGACACCCTGCGGCGGGCATCTTGGATGGTTTGAATCAGACAAGGTATGGGGAGAGATCAGGCGATGGATCAAGCGCCCGGTGTTTGAATGGCTGCGTGCAACAGGAGAAGACTTTGTTCGTTCACCTCCACGTTGGCGACCATTGCATGAAGAGGGCGGCTTTATCAAAGAGGTTGGCATCGACAGGCTGGGGTGCAAAGAACTAGACGGAAGCGATGTCATTATGGGTACAGAGGGAGAGTCCGGGTTGCTGGCTGGGTTGTAATTTGAAGAAATAGATATACTGTCAGATTTCTTATTTTATTCTAATCACTATCGCTGAAATGCACTCCATCGTCATCGTCATCTTCATGTGCGCGCAGCTGGCTCCTGTCATACTGGCTAATATCAACAGAAACGGCGCCTTCTTCCACGAAACTGTCATCATCGTGCTCCAAGTTCTTGTTCTTCTCAAATAATTGACGACCTGATCAAAAATTAGAAGGATGTCGTCAAAATACACTGAACTCCGAATTACCAGTAGGTCGAGTTGCTGCACGTTTCCATTCTTCCCTTTCTTTCGGCGAGAGTGCGCGCAGCTTTTCTTCTTCATCTTTCGCCTTCTTTTGCGTCATCTCGCGGGTAAATTTAATCTTCCATGCCTTAAACGACTCCACTGTAACTGGGGTTCCGCGAGTCCTCGCTTCTTCCGCCTGGTAATGTGAACTCCTTGTTGTCCAAATAACACGCTCGACTTTACCTCAATTGCCAGGCGTTCCTTTTCTGTTTCCTCAGCCATGAGTTGATCTGCCCTTTTACGAACGAGGGACGTCATCTGTTCTCTAAGATGAGAGACAAGAGTGAATGTCATGGCCATGCCAACATTCTCTTCGCCCTATCGGATCACCATAAGATCCGTCATAACATCATAAAAGATCACCCACAACTTCCGTAAGACTGTCTAGTAGTGCTTCGTGTTCAGTGTCTTCGAGTTCACCCTCGATCGCTACTAACGTCAGGTGAGGCAGGCTGTCAGGGTATTCATCGGGGTAATGGACGGATAGCTGTAGTTTGACTGTTCACAAGGTTTCAGGACTATGTAATAGTGAGGTTTGACGACAAATCTTACAGGGGTGGTCGTTATCTATCGTTTCATCAGGCTCGACATCGATCTGGATCTCCCTGTCCGAAACAACTTGGTAAGGGTCTTAGTGAACTGATTTGTAGTCAAGATCGGTAAGGACGAACTGGACAGCTCTGTAGGGTATATGGATTCAAGTACCTAAACATGCATTGAGCATAACGTGAAGCTCTGCAACAATAGGAATAGACCTCAAACTCCTCCGTAAGAACCTCTGCGGACATCGTTGTGTTCAGGAAATCGTCCGATTGCCGACCATTAAGGTTTTTGACCAAATATGGACAATGGTGAAAAGAGTCCGAAAAGCGTCAAGCTTTCAAACGTTTCGTTGGATCCGACCCTTCTACAGCGGCTATGTCCTGGCTACGAGGAGTAACATCTGCAGTACTGAGCAGTACTGCAAGAGGAGTGTTCTCTCAAAGACCTAAGTTACCAGTTCGAATGCTCTCCAACGTCCGTCACCCACCCGCTATGCTCGATAGAACCAAAAATCAGGACCGTGTTTGGACGCAGGCTATCTGGGATACTATAGACCGCACAGCAGGAACAGCTCAAAAACAGAACCTACCAACCCCAGATGAATTATGGGCTGAACGGAGTCGGAGTGCAACTTTCAACCCTCCAGCTGATCCGTACACGGGTTGGTTCTCTAGCACTCTAGGTCGTGTTCTCGGCTGATCTCGACCCGTCCAGGTAGAAGAGTATTTGTGAACGGAGACTTGGGTGAAGCATTTAGGAGGTTACAAACGCGTCTCAGACGGAATCGTGTGATGCAGGAGGTGTCGCGGCAAAGACGACATGAAAAGAAGGGCGTAAAGCGGAGACGCTTAAGCAGTGAAAGGTGGAGAAGAATGTTTGCCAACGAGGTATTCATTTTTTTTTGGCCATGCTCTCTCAGGGTTGTGCTCATGCTTGTGTAGGTGCGGAAGAAAGTGCAACTTGTTAGCACTATACGTCGTCGTGGAGCCTACTAAGACAATCAATGCATTCTCTTGTCCTTGCGATCAGTGTCCCTGGTGTCTTCATATATATTTCTCTGGCGGACTCTTTCCCCGCGGGACGTTGACGTGCAAAATTACATACCTTGCCAACCTGTTTTTGGTATTATAATGATTCTTCTTTCATCAAACAAAGGCCGAAGCCGACGTTCGGTGCGTGGCGATTTGTGAAGTACCAAATTCTCGCCGTTTCTCGCCCTTAGTGTTCTAGGTCTAGATTCTCGACCTCGTTTTGCCCACTCCTCTATCAGTATACATAACTAATCTGGGAACAGGTATAATCAATCTAATAGTCCGAGTGACGAGCCTCCTAGTACCAGCCCTTTCCAGCTCCTCCATCTAGGGGGAATACTCTCCGGGGATGCATTCTTGTCCGACTAGTGCCGTCGCGGGACACGAGGCCGCCCCTTCCGACCTCATGGCTGCCACGACGAGCGATTAAGTCAGAATCTATTGGTCACTCGTGCCGTGTGCTGATATCCTGAATCGAGACACGACTAGCACGCCTTCCGTACTTCATTGCGAATCGGTTCGGTGCCGTTCAATAGAAACTTGCCGGCTCCTGGGACTAGATATGTGGCGTGACCACATCGCTGCTGTGAATTGGGGCCCATTTGGAGTAAATGCAGTGGAATGCGTGTAAGGGTGATCGGAATGCTCGGCGACCCTACGGCCGGCGGTTGCGCACTCACTTTGAAAGGTAAAAAGGCTGCCTAGCGGCCTCTCGATATTCTCTTGGATTTCACGACGCATGTTGCTGCAGGAAGGAACGCGATCCCCACGCTACATAGGATGATGTACAAATTTTCTCTACATAAGAAGCTCCCACCTGATGACCAGACGTCAAGTCAATAGCACAATCATCACCGCGACTACTACTAAAACGCTCCTACTCATCCCCAACATTCCGCACCGGAGATGTGTCACAATGTTCGTCGGTGCTCTGATGTTGACCCGGTCCCCGGATTGACCTGCTTCTTTCCATAGATCATTGATGGTCGATACCACACCGAATGTAGCCACTTCATTGCCATGTCGACAAAGTTCCAGGACTGCCTGCGACCACATTGTCTCTTCAGTTCAAGACATGTCCATCTTATAGGTGTGCCTCTCGACTGTTTCCCATTTGCAATGTATTGACTTGCTCGAAGCATGCAAGTCACAATCTTGCATACGGCTAATGGCCCTGCCCACCAAGAATCCTATTCGCATAAGCCCTTCAAAATGCGGCGACTGTGTCTTAAAGACCAGAGATGAAGTAATGCCAATGGTCCGAGTTTCCGGGATGCGATAGTGGGTTACAGTTCAGTCCCTGACATAGATATACCATAAAACCGCTGCCTTAATGCTGACGGCGCTAGCCCGTATTTAACTTACTAATTACTGGAAGGTTCAATATTTTGCAATAATGTAATCATGCTTTTCGTGTTCTCCGGCATAATAATAACCACGTGTCCCACGGTAACGCCACTAGTGAGATGATCATGCCAAACTCGTCACAATTGACGTTGTTGTTCTCGGTCTGCACAGACTACTCCTTGTACTTTTCGTCTAATCCAACTCTGGCCGGCCGCGTACAATGACTATCGAACATCTATATAGGGCACACGAGAAGGTCCAGACCAACTATATAGTTTGATACCTAAGAGCCGACTCCCCGCTCGTCCTGTTTCATCGCTTGTTCTGTGACTCGTTCACAGTTAAAACTTTACGCTTATGGCGTGGAGAGCTCCTGATAATCTGAGATTTTACATACAGGAAGCGCGCCTCGTGTCCATCAATTGGAACTCATCTCAGCCCAGCGTTGACGCCGCTTTACATGCTCTTCCCCGCCGATACAGGAAACTAAGAGCAATCCATCCACTTCGGCTCGCGCTTTTCAACCAATATTGTCAAGACTGTACGAATTCTCATGCTACGGCTTTTCCGGGTCTGAAATTGATTTTAGGGACAGAGGATTTTGTTCCGTGCGTGTCGCTCGGTGAAGAAGACGAGGATAAAGAAACGGGCGAACGCTTCACGGTGCCTTGCCCACCTTTCTATCAAGTTCCGTCTATCAGTCTGGCCCGGGCTGATAGCCTCAAGCGGTAATGATCATAAGCTTGACTTTGTGCCGTTCTAATTGTACTCGAAGATTGTTCACGTGGATAGATCTTCTCCCGCTCGAAACCGTGCGACGAGCCGTGCATCTCCTCTACCCTGAGACGAAAGCTTGGTCTTTTGCTTCTGACGCAGATGATCCGGATCACACCATCTTCAAATGTATAACATGGTCCCAACTAGTGGATCATGACGATGAGCGGCATTGTCGGAATGCCATGAGTATCTTCATTCAGCCCCCTTGGGTCCTCTCTGGCCGTGATCTTGACCTATTTTGCAAACGTCAATCAGTATGGACGGCTAACAATTTCGAAGCATTCGCTGCTAACGTATGTCACCAGTTCTTCGGGTCATCCTCGACCCCGTGGCACGAGCGTCCTACTACAGCCCATGAAAGGCTATGGTACAAGGTGAGACGCCGCCGTTCATCCCAATGAGTCACGTACTCACGCCACCCACCAGCTATGGGATTCCTGTATCACTAGAAGCTGCCCATGGTTTGTCGTAAGCACTTACACGCATTGGGTCTTTGGAGTATTCTCGAACGGTGAGCTGGATTTAGTCACCTACCTGTGTTTTCCGCTGAGCCTCGGCATTCAGGGTGGACTGCAGCGTTTGTTTCTCCAGTGTATAGCCATGACTCTCACGACCCATCTGTTTTACAACTCTTGTTATTCTGGCTTTGTTCAGCAATGGGGCTTCCTGGAGGTTGGGTGGTCCCAGAAGTTCGAATTGAACCAGCTTATCCTAGTCATCATCTCACAGCCTCAGCCTCCGATCTCGCCGTCACTGATAAGTCGATATTTACCCTCTGGGATGGAGATGACTAGATCCGCGCCATTCGATTCTATTTGATTGAAGCAGGTTGCGCATGCGCGCTCACTATTATTGTAGGTCTACCGATCTGTTGTTTCCCTTCCAGTTTGAGAAGGTTACGCCGAGTGCTTCGTTTTCATCTCAGCCTAGCCACGACGATAACTATCCTCTAGTACTCCCGATCAGTTAAAAACAACCAAGGCACCTACGGGATTTTCAGAGATCTGGTGATTGTAATTCAATGTAACGCATCCCAAAAATAGATGGACAGTAAATCACTATCAGTTAGAATTCCCGATAAGTATGTCTCCCACAAAAAGACTTCGCGTCAACATTACGCCAGAAATTCTTTTGCGTGGCCGTGAGGTAGCTGTAATCATTCTAGCTAAGATCCAAGCGGCCTATTATTTTCTTTGCTGATTCTGGGATGGCTCTTTCCGGCTGTTCAGCAACGTGCAATGGTGTCTTGGCGGGCGTATTACCCCCGTATGATGAAATTGGTGTTCTGTTACTGGTGCCTGCGGGGGGGAAAGATGCCGATTGCGATAATAGCTGTGGAACCTGAGAGAAAGGTTCATAAAGAGTTGGGCGCAGAGAACTTGTGGGAGGGGAAATCTGTGAACCCTATTCAGACCGTGCAGGGTCAAAACTACAGTGGGTCATCAAACCATAGTTAAAGGCGCTACATGAGGCGCGTTCTGCATGTCTTGAGCTGAATAATATTCAAGCAGTATGCTCAAGGCATCTGAGACGTACCAGAATTTCTCAGTTATGATTGGTAGCCAGTTCCGATCGACCTACCTGAGACCTTGGCTATGTCATCTTCTGTGAACCCGTAATATTCAACTGCGAAGCGAGAAGCATCAGGTGAAGCGGGTTTATGAGAAGGAGGTGTCGGAAGGGATGCTGAAGGCGGAGATGCGGAGATTCGGGCATCCAGGGACGCTGAATGAGGCCCATCAACAGCTCGCTGCGCCAGAACGTAGCAAGTACATGCGATGATACGAGGAGGGAATAAGATGCATAATGGTGTCCGATAACTGGCACACGAATTGAGACAAGGATTCGCCTCTGTAAGTTTGGGACGACTGACTTACGAATCATGAGCAATACTCCACGCGTAATCGTGAACTCGAGTGTCTTCCTGGTAGGCATCGAAAAGATCGATTAACTCGGCGTGAGGGCTCGGGGCTACGAAATCAAAGCAAAGTGCCTCGAGGAGGACTTCTTCCGTGAGAAGAATAACGTTTTGTAGTTGATCGACTTCCTGTGTATAGATGAGCTCAAGTTGGAGCAACGAAAACATGTTACATGCTGGGCTCTCGCTGTGTATGAGGGAGACATCTTTCCCTGTAATCTTAGCCTGACACACTCTTGCGACGTCGCGAAGCTTGCGTCCACATTCCTCCGTCTTTGTTGCAAGGAATATACAAGAAGCCGCCACGTCCTAGAAGGAACGTCGTCCGCATTATCTAGAAATTGTGAGATAAGAATACCTGTCTGTGATAATCTTCCATGGAATATCTCATAAAAAAGCGGTGAAACCAGGTCGCGGCTGTGAACATGGCGGAAGTGGGCCTGCGGAATCAAACGGACGTGAAAAGAAGATCAAGAGGCAGTAATTGACAAAGGGCTAACAGTCCAAGAGAAGAACCCAAACGGAACAAAAATTCGACGCCCCTAGATCGATCATACAACTCCTTCGCGACCGTGTATGATGATGTGACAACACTCGGGGTCAGCTGGAGAGCTGATATCGGAAATACCCACTGAGATTGCATGATATGATGTTGTCTCCCAAAGGAGAGGCAGGAAGGAAGCAAAGAAGTGAGTTGGCAAGGACGCCACGATTCGATTGCCTAAAGATCACGTAAAGCTGTGCAAGTTCTAAGATGGGCCCCCCCTAGCGCTGTTTCGTTCACTGCCTCCGAGTTGAGACTCTGTGTAAACTTGCTATTGTTCTTAAATCTCGCGTGAAGTAGGTGAAAGTATGCTGATCACCCGAGAAGTAAAAAAAAAAGACTATTCCATTCACAATTTAGTTCGGTAGCCCTGGTATTGTATTAGTTTTATTCTGTCTCCGTGACACAGGTTAACAAATCCCGCGTTCGGGGACAATCAGAATTACAGCAAAGCAGATTCTCAAGTCAGATGAGTTCTTTCCCAAGTTTACAGCCGCGGATATGCATATCCCTCACTGTACACAGCGAGGTGTGCCTCGTGCCGCCTGGACATTCATTCCTCTAAGTAACTTGGAAATCAACGAATCCCCCCTTGCTTCACCATTAATTTTCCTTATTTCCGCTTACTTCGCCACTAATTGCACTTGGCTTGCTTGACATGTAGAATTATTAAAAGCATTTATGATTTTGTCAAAAGCGGGTTCAAAGTACTTGTGACGTGCCTGTCGCACGCTTTCTGATTCCGTTTGCTCTTTAGCTTGTAATTCCTGAACTTTAACTAATCCCCATCAACTGGCGGTACTACTCACTGTGGGGATTATCCTCCTTGTCCTCGCCGCCTACATGAGCAAACGGTTACCAAATAATTACAATAGTGGCGGAAGTCGCTCCCTGGTCGCCTTGACCGACTTCGCATCCGTTCCTATGCGATGGCAAACACCACTTGCCTGTCAAAATGATCAACAAAATATATCTTCATAAATCACTACAACAATCATCAAGATCCGTCAAAAAAACATATAGTGGAAATTGCAAGGAAATGTCATATATCCATCGATCTTTCCGCACCGCTATTCTAATCACCGATCATCGATGCATCTTCATCGCCATCGCCCACAGATACCGACATAACATACTCCCAACACCTCTCTGGACCTATCTATTGTACAGCCTCTACATCCTCTGGATGTCAAACCTTATCTGCCTTTGCCTGCCTGCGTGCAGGTCGGACAAAACGAATCGATGAGACGGTCTGCAACATGGTCGTCAGCATTGAATACGACATGCCCCCATAGCGTTCAAGCCTCACTAAATTGTTGGGGGAACTGCCGACTATGACGTATCAAAGGATCTAGTCAGCTTTCCGACCCTTGCAAACAAGCACCACGAGGTACCCACTATTGCCAGCATGTTGTCGTGCACGAAGGCGGCACGCAAGTACTTGGATGAGATGAGCTAAATTTGCAATAACGATCATCGCATCGGATCTAGAGGCGTGTGAGCAGTATGTTTTCAATGTTTAGGTCTGTAGCTGACCATTTCATCGGCCTGAATAGCGTCAGCCACGGCAGAGACATCGAACCGAATATGCTCACCAAGTCGAAAACATGACCGCAATGGCTGTATGTATTACGGACTCTGGATAGAAGACAAGGACCAGAGTAAGCAATGACACAGATCATAGGTCAGGCATTGACCGACCTTCGCCAGTGACACATGGAGGAAGTTGGAGAATGGAGAATGAACTTGGGGTTGTTGGTCCAAATTCCTGCCTCTTATAAGCCCCAGGATAAATCAAGCGAAAATTCGAGAATAGATGGCGCAGATCTCGTCGGGGGATCACTGATTTCGCATCGGACCGTTCGAACAGATCTGTAGCAAGCTAGTTGCAGCGTCAACGTGTGGCACGGAGGAACCATCTGATGCTCCTCGGAACAACAAATTTGGCTCCACCGGCCAGGCTGGAATATACATATCAGGATAGCCAGTAGAGACATTTGGACCCGTTTATCTAGCGAATGGGTTTGCTAAAAAGCTAAAAACCCAAATGAGTCTCCACAGCGGCGACAGCCGAACTTCATCTAACGAAGAGGTGTTTCTGCCCGAGTTCGAGGATCAAACACATCAAGCTGCATCAGACGTACACTCACTCGTTGTCGGGACGGCATCCCGAATATCTTACATCACCGTCCGGGAAGCATTAAAATCTTTTATTGTATTTTTGAGTCGCGATTCAATTGGAAGATGCTGATAGGCTGAGAGATTTCGTTCTACCCCATTCTCCTGATAATTTTTCAAAATGGTTTGGGCAGTCTTCGGAACTCCTCTGGAAGATTTAGGCAGCTGCTCCCGAATATTTCGCCCCAGTCTCGCGCTCATATCGCGACCTGTCACATTATAATTCCCGAAAATACTCACCTTTATCATCCAGAATCAGACTGATGGCCCCGAAGTATTGGCTGGGTCTCTCCCGCAGGATTACGCATGTTTCATCTCAAGGGCGGCCGCCAATGCGGTTAAACGCCAGAAGAATATGACGCTCCTCCTCTTGATTAACCTTGCACCACAGAGAAGTTCCGCATACACGCATGGTGATCTGCAACTGATCTTGAAAGTGATCAAGGCTAATTGTAAACTCTATCGTGCCTATCGGCGGATGAAGGCGAAGTTTGGTGACGAGGGATTGGAGGGATAAACGGACAATTTTGTTATCCTGCAAACATCCCCACAACATATTGGCTGACCCCTTCAGGAGTCAAGCTGCCAACATCGGAGAATACCAGCGTAATCAGGTCCGGCCTTGTATTCATCTATCAGAACGTGTCATGGCACCATTAATTCTCCCACCTAGTATAGTCCACTCCAGGGTTGCATGCAATTTGTTCGGACGTCATCTGTCGTATACAACCGGCATTAGTGGACTTTTCATGTAATGATTTGATCCCGCCCGCGGTCGGCGGGGACGTAACATTGCCTCCCGAAGATAACGGGAAAGACAGAATATTGGATGTGTGCGTTGGCAGGTCATACTGCGATAGCGGGAATAGACGATGAAATTTGTAACTGTATGTTCAGGATCCATATGAGCTCCGGAGCAGTGCATTGTGATACTGAAATTACCTCTCAGCGAGGGCATAAAAAGGGATATTCGCGGCTTGTGCGATGATTGCGATCTGGTTACTGCCAACGGCATTGATCAGGCCGCCACTTTCTACGACAGCTTCTGATCCCACTAGAACGAAGTCTACCTTGTCCATGACATATGATACTGCCGAATCCAATACCACCGTGCAGGGTATACCGGCGGCGGTAAGTTCTTCGTAGGTTCGTAGGCTTTCAATAAGAATATCAGTCTTCTTTGGAGATACCACAGTTACAGAGTATAAGAACGAACCCTAAGCCGCGAGGCCGTGCTTCTGTCACGTAGACCGATATTCTCTTTCTCTCGTGGGCACGGAGCAGGGTCTTCATCACGACTCTCGAATAGGAATGAGTCAGGATCTTCCCGTTGACATGAGGGATCATACAACGAGGAAGCACGTGGAAAACATACCACTGAGTCATCTTTGATGAATCCTAGCGCAAGGCTGGCAATTTTATCGCGATAAGTGAGAGCCTCAGCAGCATATTTTTGGCCTTGTCTAACAAGCTCTAGTTTTAAATCGGAGAAGCTCTTTTGTAACTGTCAGTTTGAGAAGGAAGATAGGCGGGCGGTACTGACTGCGGAGTCATGCGGGAGCAATGTGACAAACGCGATAAATAATTCGCACCCAGCGTTCAAACTGATCGGATTGGAAGTCGAGGCCTTCAAAGCTCCTGCACCGTCGTTTAGAGCTTTGACTAGCTCAAGCATGGTCCCAGCTATTATCTTCTGGGTCAACGCGACACTGTAGGAAGGAAGGTGGCAGAATACCATCGGATGTCTCGATCAACTTGCTCAAGGCTAGAATTGCAGCCAGTGGAGGCGATAGCTGGTTTTGTTATAAGCATTACAAAAAAAAATTACAATACAAGAAAGCTGCACACCTCTTCATTCTTCAGGAATGAAGCGTAAGTTTCGCAGATATCGAAAGAAACCACAGGGAATGCAGAGGTTGATGTATTTGCCTCCGTAGTTGTAAGATCCGGCATGACAAAGAAGGCACTGGGAGAGGTATTAGTGTTCCTTCAACCTCGTTCCTTACAGAGATGATGATAGGATGACTCCAAGATCACGTGAAACCAGGAACATAAGCGTATGGGCGCTTGGGACTTATAATGTCGGTGAAACTAACTTGGTGCTTGTACGAGAAATTACTGTAGATGTTTAGCACTGAAAGCTACTGCGCAGACTAACTCTAAGAGGTTTTTATGTAAAAGATAGATACAACAAGCTTGAGTAGTTGACATGCATGCAATGCGTTATTATCACCCTGTCACAAGTTGAAGGGGACACATATGGTCGTAACTAGACGGAACTGTGACAGGTGGGATATCTGACCCTGCCGTGGACAGCCTCCTGGTGTTTGACAATGTGACACCAGAATTACTTGGCTCCCGCGCTTGCGAAACCATTTAGCCACACTAGTGCGGGAATGCTGGACATCACATTTAGTACTCTTTGTCACTAGCTTTGGGTAGTCTTTGTCCTTCTAGCTTTGTGTCCGTTGCTATGCAAGTAGCTGTCATTTCAAGTCTATCCATGACCTGTAATACATAGTTAACGTTCTGCTCTGTGGGTGAATATCACGTCGGGGAAAGTGTTTTAGAAGGGGACGGGATCACATTCTCGTAACCAATATATCAGTGTAATATCGGTGTGCAAACTACTATCGAAGGTAATTCCCTGTGATAAATTTCATACTGAATTATTCAATTTAGGAAAGAATTATAGATGAATTAAAATAATTAAGACTGAATTTGGAGATAAACAGGTGTTAGCTGGAGACGAAAAAACGTGTTTCGTTCTCTGGACATGTCGGGTCGCAATCGCTACGAAGGGCCAATTATAGTGGCGGGACCCACGCCCGCCAGCACACCCTTCAAAAGGCCGGTAACGCCATGCGTTTATAGTACCCTTGTGCCCTCAAAAGCCAGGTTCACTATCTTCCTCCTCGAGGTCACATATCTTGCCCTGCATCTTCCTTACTTTCTCTTTATCAATATACATCCTTGCTCCTGGTAAAGGGCAGGCCTCTCTTTGTCCCGAACAATTTCACTTGTCTTACAATGGACAAGTACGTTTCTTTTACCTATAAATTTATTTCAGAGGCTCACGGAACTCAATCAACCCAGTAACGGTACCCCCAACATGCAGACACCACCATCATCGACTGCTCAAGTTCATTTTTCCAGCGATGTCCGCAACATGGATAACTGGGCTCGCCGTACAGGCATCCCGTTAACCACAGCGGAAGCTTTAGGCACTACTTATGCTCGTGCTCATAAATGGTTGATGTCGTTAAAAGCCCAGCTAATTCAGCACCATGGGTGGCAGGACGCCGAAGCTGCCGTCGATACTCGTATGCTCTTCACCGTAGAAGCGCCTTCTCCATGGCGCTCCCCCAATGGGCTCCCTTTGAGCCCCAAGTTACGGCTTCAACTCCCCACACACGCATCCTCTTTCTTTTCTCCAGAGCGACGCGTTCAGTGGCAAATGGTGTTCCATAGTGACATCTTTGCCACTCAGCGACTTATCGTCCAACCCATCACCGACATCCTGAATCTTATCCAATGCCTACTCACCGGTGTTGTGACCCTTGTGTACGAGGAGCAACTACCTCAGGGCACCTATACCACCACCCGGGGCCTCCCGTCAGTGCAGTGGATAACCAATAACCAGGCCGCCCTCCTTGAAATCTTTGGGCATGCCCATTTCAAGCAGCTCTGGAAGGCTGCCAACGACAGAACGACGTCGTTCAAAGTTGACTTTGAACCTCGGCGCCGTTGATCGTGGAGTGGCACAAAAGCCCTTACCCTGGGGGCCAAGGCTCACGTGCAGCAAGCGCCTTTATGCATTCTTTCGAGCGCTATCTCCATCCTTTCATTTCCCCACTTGTGATCCGCTTTGCTACCTGATTTGTGTTTGTGCCCTTCGCCGCATTGTTGTGATATAATGCTCTCTTTACGCGTCCTCGGCATAATTTTTTTATCTCCACATAGACCACTCGTATATTGTTAATTCGCTTTATTCTGAATCATCTTATACACACCTATCATCGATCACATTTAATACCCGCTATCATATCGTTACAATCGAATACTTAGCATCACCACTGCCCGTCTAATGTTACAACGCGAATGCTCACCTCGATCATCTTTCGCGCCCATACTGACAAAGGCTTGTCAAATGAGACCCAGTGTGGTGCTCCCCTTGACCCAGCCAAGGTGATATTATCAGCAAGGGACAGGAATGACTCAGGTTATTACTAGTATAGAACACACATGACTAGGCTATGCATGTTGTACTTGTACACCTTCTGTTTCGTGGCGGTCACCGATCTGATGGCGTTGGACGGTGCTGCGCCAATTATGCCAAGTGTTAGTGTCAGGTCATTCCGATCTTGAAAAAGAGCGTTAGCGAATAGACGGACATCATAATCAGGCTCTACGTGATAGGGGAGCCCTTGGAAGGTTTAGCGCCTTCAAAAACACGTTGAAGGGTCGCACCAACGGCAAGATCAAAGGCACGTTGGGAACGTGAGGCAGACGGAGCTTTGGACAGTCATGTCCTTGTGATATGCTAATTCAAGCATATCACGGCATAATTGTATAACATATGTGGGATGACAGAACTTAGCGTCACCTACGAAAAAAAAATTGTCGGAACGTCATCAAACCCGCGTCGCGTCGGAGAAATCCGCGTCACGTGTATCTCAAGTTACTTGCTGTGGTCGCTCAGTCGTCACTACAAAATTTTATCTCATTGTATCTACCGTTCTACCTGACAGGGAAGATGAGTTCAGCCACGGTACTTTGCCAGAGCTCCAATTGTCCACATGGAAACCCGCCATCACGGCTCGAATGCCCCACGTGCAATAAGTATGTCACACACCATGTTGCATCCTGCTGTCAGCGCTGAACTTCGTCGAGGCTGGGTATCCGTGGTTCTTTTTTCTGCGGACAGGAGTGCTTCAAAGGCAACTGTGAGTCGATCACGATATCAATCTGTGTGGAAGCATTGAAACGCCACACTTTTGACAGGGGTAAGTACGATGTAAACCCAGGCACCGCTCGCACCTCATGTACATTTCATTCCCTCCGCATCAACCAGAAAACCCACAAAATCATCCACGATCTTGTACGTTCCCCGGCTACTGCAGCTAATCCATCACAAGGTCCGTCGATAGAGATATTCGCCAGTCGCGAGTCAGCTGATGTGATACAGACGGCACTTACCATCCTTTCGCGAACTTCGATTTCACGGGTACTCTAAGACCCGTATACCCCCTCTCTCCAAAACGTGAAGTTCCGGAACATATTCCACGTCCTGACTACGCAACACATGAAGATGGTAGGATCTTGTGCCTTCTCAACAACGTAGCACGCAATTTGAACATGACAATAACCAATTTCCACTCCCACCTACAGGAGTACCGACCACAGAGTTAAAGCGAGCGGGCCAACCCCCACGTTTATTGAACTCGGAGGAAATTGAGAAGATGAAGTTTGCGTGCAGGGTAAGGCTTCGGTTATGATGAACCTGACATCATACTCATTTTTCTCAAGCTTGGTCGAGAAGTTCTGGATATTGCAGCAGCAATGGTACGGCCAGGTGTGACTACTGATGAGATAGATGCTGTCGTTCACCAAGCTACGATCGACCGTAACGCATACCCGTCACCCTTAAACTATCGTAACTTCCCGAAATCCGTCTGCACGTAAGATTGTCTCAAGCTTGTCTTCTGATTTGTCCTTGATATTGCATCAGCTCCATCAATGAAATTATATGTCATGGCATCCCTGATCGCAGGAAATTGCAAGAGGGTGACATCATCAATCTCGGTGCGTTCCGCTATTCTATCTGTTGGATAATATGTTCTAATGTTCTAACAGACATATCACTCTACTACGATGGTAAGTGGAAACATTGTGTTTTTATTTTATCCCATGTTTGAAGGTGAAGGTCAGGATTTCATGCCGACTTGAATGCCACATACCCTGTCGGTGAGATAGACGAAGACTCTAAGAAATTGATTCAAACCACTCGAGAATGTCTCGATGAGGCGATAAAGATATGCAAACCGGGTGCATTGTTCCGTGACATCGGCAAAGTTATGTTAGTTTTTCCCTTCGGTACCGTTTAACTCGCGCTTACGTTGGTCCTAGTGAGCCGATTGCACGTGCTAACGGATGTGCTGTCGTGCGGACGTACACAGGTCACGGCATTAATGACTTATTCCACACGGCGCCTAATATTCCACACTACGCAAAGAATAAAGCAATTGGTACCATGAAACCAGGAATGGTAAGCTAGCGACGAATTTTTTTTTAGCTACTAACTTCATCGAATCTAGTGCTTTACAATAGAGCCGGTAAGCTGCCTCATGCTCACTCTATTTGCTCCCCGGAGCCGAACCTCATGTACGGTTGCAATAAGATGATCAATCTAGGTTCCCATTGGGACACACACCATTGGCCCGACAATTGGACTGCTAGCACAGTGGATGGGAAACGTAGCGCTCAATTTGAAGAAACCTTACTGTGAGCGTTACATGAAACCAACTTTTCTGAAACATTACTCATCGATGTTTCAGTATCACAGAGACTGGTGTAGAAGTTTTGACTGCGGGGAGCACGGATTTGTAGTAACAACTTGTCATTATCATTGCTTACAATTCACGGATAGATATACTTACATGTTCTGGTCAGTTTTCTTCCGTCACGCTCCGCCCAAAAATATTCCCTTCAGCGGCAAGGCACATCGAAGCATCGAGATCGACTGAATGAAATCGGACATTTATGGATGTGACATGTGTACCCTTATCTTTCCTCGTTTCCCCTTATGCAAAAATATCGTTTCGTCTTCCAATATCCCCGCAATTACACCCGCTGACACTGACCCTTGGTAATAGTGGAAAGGGTGGAGAACACGTTCGTGGTGTGGGTATCTCCTCACATTCCTTACTTTCCCACCTCCACCTACAAGATCTATCACCCTTGTCAATCCACTGAGCGCCTGTCTATATGTCGGACAATGACACTGACACTGAACCCTATCTTTTCGTCGAGAAATGTGGTTCAACCCGAGGGAACCCGATATACGTGATCACAAAGCACATCCCGTCAGTTGGTGTACTCGAATGAAATAATCGTGCGCAAGGGCTGATTGAGATATTCCAGCGCTATGAATGGCTATTCGAGTAGGACGGTGGGCCACACTTTCATTTCTTTCTTTTAGCGACGCCATTGTAATGTGCATTTTTAGAGGGAAATAAGATGTATGGATTTAGGTGGCGAAGCTCTCGGTTCATACAAGGCTCGCCAAGGAGGCTGTACACACATACAGGTGGGTGACGTTGACAGCCGTCGCAAGGTTATCTCAAATTTTCCATCATCACATGTCCCAGTTTTTCAACCACGCTGAACACCTCAAGTGTGTCTTTCCATTGCAAACACTGATGAAGCTCAATATATTTATTTTTGCCACAGTTGTACTGGGTGTGGCATGGAGTTCTCCAAAGTAATGCTTCGCCAAAACGCCTACATCGAGATCAAAGGCCTCCCTTCCTAATTCCCCCGACGCTCGGTCACCGTTCTCTCATCTGCTATGTTCGCTATCCTCGTTGCTCTGGAACAGATACGTATATGAACAGCTATACCTGGAATAGGCTTCCAATACGGTTTGGCAATCGCAATGTAATACCTCATACATCACATGCAATTTGTACAGTCCTCTACTCTAGTCACATTATCGAGAAGTTAAGCACTCGAGGATTGTCTGCTTGCTTCTTTGTTCAAGTTCATCGTCACATCTTCAAATGTCTCTTGCCGATCTATGGACCCAATGCGCTCGACCGGAACGAGGTTAGATAAGCTATGCTTTCGTCGCCGTGAGCCCTGTCGCATATGCAGAGACTGGGAGTCATCAAGACGGATACCGCTTGAACTCGAAGAAGCGCTTGGCTGAGTAGTAGCGGTCATTCGAAGTCGCTGGAGATCTGCGTATGATCCCTGCCGACTTCGCACTTTGTGTCTCGAAGCATCCTCATACGCGGATATATAGCTGACGGCATGGTCATAATCTCCATGGTCTTCGCCATCTGAGAGGTCAGGTGTCGCCGGTCTGCTGCTGTCCTGAGTTGGTGTGCTTCCTCCCCACGCACTGGATCCACATTTAGCGCTACGGCTCCATCCGAAAAGCCGCTCATCGATCCATGTCTGTGCAACGGTCATGAGGGTGCGACCATAGAATCCTGTGAATACTCACCATGGGATGAATCAGCAAATTTCCTTGAGCATCAACTTGCCCCACGCTACTCTTTCGCCGCCAAATCCCGGGATTACCCGTTGAAGGAGGTGCGCTCGCAGGGACCAAAATACGGAACTGATCAGGTGGTCAACACTAGGCATCAATCAGGTTGCTATGTACTTGCCTGATCGAAATCATCATAAATCTTTGGGCCAAACTCATTTATGACATCGGCAACTTCATTAGATAGTCGAACCCTCATGGCTTTCACTTTGTCGAAGGACCGCTGTTGACCGGGGATCAACGCCACTATCAAGGGTCGCAAAGATCTATACGGAAATCGAACTGCGTCAGTGCATAATTTAGAAGCGGGTCTTCTAAAACCTCACTTCAGTACGTCCATACCAGCCTCGCCAAACTTTAGGGCGGCATAATTCATGAACGGCAAAGCCAAAATCACCAGAAAGGGAGTCCATATCCTCGTGGCTAGAGAAGCGTTGGCTCTCACGGCGACTATTGTCGCAACTATAGCATAGAAAGCATACATGACCGGAGCGATACCAAGCGAAATGAGAATCTTCCACGTTGCGAGCACATCGCGACCGGCCACTTTGACTACTGATGCAGCCAGTGCCTCTGAAGGAAAATTGGTGGTTTGAGTAAGTAATCAGATACATAATAAGTATAGATGCATACCTTTAGCTTTTTGACGTGAAATAATTGATGCCAAGATAAACATGGGCCCATTAAGTATGACTCCTGGCAAAGCTAATGACGTCCAGATGATCAGGAGCACGAGGCGATAGACAAGTAAGCCAAGCGTTTTCCAGCTCGCCTTCTGTGCTCGTGGGACCTTGTGGAAAACGTGAGTTGGTGCCCGAATTGGGGGTCGCCAGTAGACGTACTTGGTGATCACGAATTCCCAGATCACGAATCAAACGATTGTACTTCAAAACGTCTGTCCTAAGTTTCTGTACCCGGGGCTCATCTTTGAAGTGTGTGTAGCCTTTCAAAAAGCGCCGATTCAGTTCGACTACTTGTCCCAATGTGAGATATTGCCCCGGTGTCTTGTATAATCGGCGGACGGCTTGAATAAGCTGCATGGGCTTCAGTTCTTGCTTACTCAAGTAAATGACGCCAGGGACGCACCATAAGCGTGTCATAATCTGGAGCACGAATCGTCACTGTCTTCAGCCCATCATAGATAAGGTCCAAGAACTTCGCCACGGCTTCACGCTTTTTGTTACCACCTTCTTTAAACATCTCAACTAGCTCAGCAGGTACATCGAGAGCAGTTCCGAATTCCACAACAGCACGAGAACGGAAGCGATGGGCATGGAAATATGATAGACCGACAGGTACAATCTTCACTTGCACAGTTGGATCATTGGCCATAGCACCTAACGCCATGATGGAGACACCAGCTTTGAGAGGGAGTAGATCTGTTCTGTCGTGACTTCCACCTAAGGGGTCAACAATGTAACGAAACGCTGCAATGAAATTAATGAGTAGTAGGCTTGCCTTCGGGAAATATGCCAATGCACCCTCCTTCCTTTAATTTCTGATATACACCACGATACATTTCTTGCTGATTGATGAATGGCAGAAGCTTGAACGCTAAACCCTTATTTCCATTTTCTCCACCTGCAGCAATTGTCTCTCGAATGCGAGTTGTTCCTTTGCCACTGTCCCCTCCAAATTCTTTCTTGACGCGCAACTCCGTATCTGAAATGACTTCGATGACTTCGGCAACGGCTGAGTTGACTGACTTTGGAAGCATGATTTGCATTTTTGGGGTAAACTCAGTTTTGAACTTGGTACCTTCCCCGAGGACTAAACAAGGATCATCCGGAGAGAGGTATACTAATCCAGTTCCTGGTTTGGCCTCGTCTGAAGCTCGAGAAACGGGGACTTTACAAAAGTCAGTAGGGAGTGGGAAATATGACGCAATGAGCGTACTACTGTCCATGAGGCGGGCAAAAAACCCTACTGCCTTCCGTTGCAGACTCTTAGCAGCAGTTAAAAACTGGACATGGCGATGTGTCTCGCGGTAAACCTCCAAGGTGAGAAGGAGAGGATCAAGGAACTACATAGAGGAACAGTCAGCGGAGTTTGCCAAAGCTGAATAAGAACAATTCACTTGATTGGAATGAGGAGCGCCGACAAAAATGAGGGGGCCCTTATGAGGAATGTTAAAGGCACCCCGAGGTCGTATCTCTCTGAAGAATATCTGAGTGACAATGCGCCAAAACAACAGCGCAGCTTCATATGTGATTGCTGAAGGCATTAAGAATAGGCTTTATGAAAGTTAGTTAGTGACTAGTCGTGCAATGTATGATGGTATAAAGAGAAAAGCGTAGTCTCGGCGTTCGTCGCGCTTCAGGGGATTCATATTAAGCTGAGTACTAGTGGGGCTCAATTTTTGGGGTGTCACAACATGTGCAAATAGAACCGTCCACGTAGCTATGGTCACTACTATGACTTCAGTTATTCGTCATGAATGATGACGTGCTCATGATATCGATATTGTGCACATTACATTAAAATCGGATCACACCGTTGCTCACGACGCCGAGCCTCTCACCAGCTCATCTCTGGGAAGATCTACGGTAACAAGCGAGAGCACATGCACGACCATGTATCATTCACATCACAATCCGGAAAGAGGCATACACGGGCCACCAAATCGCCAGGATCGGATCTGATCCGCTCGCTATCCCAAAACTTCGAAATCAAGTCTTGACCTCCCCAATGGCAGAAATTGGCATGTATCATAGTCTGTGGTTTTGATGTCAACGATAAACGGAAGGGGAAGGGGTATGAACACGCAAGAGTAGATCCAGCAAAGGTATGTGTACAAGTCACAAGGTCCTACGACGCATATTTTTGCCTGTGTTAGCAGAATAGCTCCGCGGATGATGATACATTTTCCGAGGCATGACTCGAAATAAACATACTTGACATTCCACAAAAATTGTGCATCCTGATTAAAAAGGGTCTTTGAAGAGTCGTAAATGATCGAATTGCAGAAACAAAGAAAGGGTGAGATGTTGAAAGAAACCATCGATCAGTCTGGTTCAAGTCAGCTCTCCGATATCCGAGGTCTTGCAGCACTTTGCGAAGATCCATTGCTCGTTGTGCTTGCACGATTATAATGGAATATGCCGTGCAGCTGATGCAATCGATCCTCTCCTGGCGGATCGGATGTATGGTGTGCAGATTGAGGTGACATTTCCCCTCGGCTTGGAGCAGGGGAAGTAGGAACGGGTGATTCGTGGCCATTCGATTCCAATTCTAATTGACATCATGAGCGTGAAACTCGAAACTAAAATGAGGAGAGACATACTCGACAATGTACTTGCGACTGCTGCGGTTCGTTCCATATCCTCGGCCGCCCGACTCGCAAGTGCGCGGTTGATGTACTTGCGAAATGCAGGCCCAGTTGTCTCTAACAGCTTCTCAACGCGAGGACGCTTGTGTGGGTAATTCTTCAAGAACTGGTGCAGCTCAGTGATACCCTCCTTGTGCATCGCTCCTGTGGTCTCACTGGAGATGTGATTTATGATAGTGATCAATTGTGCTTCCGGATCTGGCTCTTCTACCGGTGGCGAGAAGCCGTTGTGCGAAGAGACACTCGGGCTTGTTCGATGACTGGGGGAAGACTGCTGTTGATTGGCAGAAGAGCCTGTAGGCGATATGGGCCGACTGGAAGCTGCTGAATATGGGCGTGAAATGGACTCTGATGGACTGTTATTCGACCGCGTTGGGATGTCTGTTGCTGCTCGAGAGGAGGAGTTGAGAATGCGGTAAACGTAGGGGTATACTATAGTTGCTGATGGGTCGTCGAAGGATGCGGAAAGGAAGTCATAAACTTCGTCGCCATAATGCGCTAAGACTCGGTTAGTCCAGATCTTACTTTCATGAGGCTTCACATACCAACAACATGCTGAATGATAACTTTGATGGTTCTCAATGGCATATCCCCGCACGGGACCTTGTTCGTGGCTCTGGCTCTCCATTCATTTGGAGGTACTGACTGTAAAAAGTGCTCGACCGCAGGTAAAAGCTCGACCGGATCGAGTTTTTGTTCCTTCAGATCTTGAGGAATATTTCGAGCTAGCTTCCAAACACATTTCAAGACAAGCTCAGCGACACGAGCCTCTTTGGAGTCTGAAAGTGTTCCATTGCTCGGGAACGGCTTTACGATTTGCAAAAGCAAGGAAAACAGGGAACTAATGTAGTGTGTCGGGAATCAGGAAAGCAACATTACGGGTGACAAAAACACACACCGGAATATGGACATCCTGCGTCCTGTGGCAAAGAGCCTCAAGATGATCATGTTGATGAATCGCGATAGATCCTTAACCTTGGTGACATGACTCTCATCAGTCTCCAATAATCTCAGTGTAAGCTCCTCTAATAGAGGGGTGAGAATGTCAATGGTTA